CCTTCTACTATTCATACCCAAAATTACACTCTTGTAGAACTAAATCCATTCTCACTTATTGAAAGAAGGCAATTTTCTTCAGTAGGTTCAGTTTAATATCACCTCCTCTATTGTAAGAGCAACCAATCTTGAAGTATCAGTGGACTCTGCCTGGCTAAACGGCACATTTTTTAGCTTTCTGTTTTCTTATTTTCTCTCCTGACACTAGCTTTTTATGATATCCATATCAGCACAAACGAACTGCATATAAAATAAAACATCTTCACAGCAGACTCCAGACAGGAAAACACACATAATCACAGTCGATGTTGGTAAAAAATGGTGTTAAGATGAAGATTAGAACACTATGACAACTGCCTCCCAAAGGTTCAAGTGGTTCCGTAATATTTATTGGTGATTTTACAATTGCTTATTTAGTTTGATATTGTAATTTTTGTTTATATCATATTCCTACATGCATAAATAAATGCTAACCTGAATACTGAATCAATGGTTCTATACACCGTTCAGTACTTCTGTTTAATTTTCCAAAAATAGTAATTTTGGACGATTCTTTTGAAAGCTTCTTCACAGGGCAACAGAATCAAAAATAATTACATTAACATCAGCAGCGATCATGTTGTATTGAACATTAGCTATGAATCTGACAGTTTCTAAGGGCACATCTGCGATAAACATATTATGTAAATGTAATTAAATATTATTAATTATTGTGTGCGCACACGCACACACACGCATATACACGCACACACACACACACACACACACAGAATGATTACCAACAGCAAACAACATCCTGAAGCTTCCATCCGGTATGAGCCTGCATGACAGCAGAGGCCTCAGAGTTTATGACCATGCAAGGACCACAGGAGAAGCAATAGCAGCAGTTAACAGATTAGATGCTAGATGAAAGCAAGAGTAGCTGATAAGGTTAAATGCAAAAAATAAATTTTGTAACGTTCACCATTTGCTCAACTCAAAAAAATATTCTGTAAAATAAATGGGGTTAAACATTTCTGCATGTATGATGTATGAACTGTCCAAAGTCTCCATATTTAACTATTGCTATAGCACTTATTCAAATAAAAGATCAAATTTACACAGATAATATAAACCTGCCACTGCCGTCATCAGTATGTGATTATGAATTTTACGTAACTTCCTGTAAATTCAGTCACAGATGCCCACTCATCTGCAAACTGATACTGAGTAACTGACAGCCATCGGTGCCACATTGTAACAATCGGCAGCATTACCACAGCGGCCTCCTTCACCATTGTGGTCATGCTTTCTAGCACTTAGCTGCTTTCCCACAGACATTCGGTGATACAAATAAGAACAAGAGAAGAAGCAGCTTCACTTCATAGTGATACTCAGCCTTTTTCCCTACAATTCATGGCCTTTTAAATAGAGGGGCCGGAACTAATGACCCAACCATGCCATTCCTTCAAGTACAGATTACTTGATGCCACTAGACTCAGTCTCTTACTCTTTAATTAGCTTAATCACGTGAGCATTATATAGCCAAGTAAAAAAATTTATGTTTAGTTGCCCAGATGAGTGTTTAACCGCCTAGACAGTCCTAAGGAACTTCAAAAATCACCAACTCATAAAGCAGGATAGTGTTTATGGCTCAATTAGAGTTGTACATACTTACTGAGGGTCCCCACTTAATACAAGAAATGGCAACCTTGAGGTTAACAAGTCCAGCTAGTAAGGTCATTAGTTCCTATGCACATGCCCTCCAAAACTGAGGGTTGCTGGTTCACATCCCAGAAAGAGCCCTCCTGTGGTGCCCCCGAACAAGGTAGTTAACTCAAAATGGTCCAACAAAAATAGCTGCAATAAAATGATTCAAATAAATCGCAAATCCCATTGCCATAAAGCATCAGCTAAGAAACTCATTGCAATTGTCATACTTGCTCCCCTAAGAAAGGGGTGTTAGACACAGGAAAGATAATGGTTTGAATTCAAATTACTGGATATCCTATTTAACTAGATGAATGTTTTTAAAAGAAAAAACAAACTTTTGAGTGACGAACAGCACATTTCATTATCTTCTTATGAACGGTGTGATCCAAAATACTGCTAATGATTTTGTTTAAAATGTGTTAAGTATCTGGTAACAGCAGGGAATCTCACTTGCACACCGATCAAGACACTGGCTGGAAGATACTTCTCGGTGACACGTTGGCCCATCAGCTACAAGGATTAAAGCGAACTGGATTTTAGGATCAAGCTTGAAGAATAAAAAAGGCTTGTGGTGGTACATTTGTCAGTGCTGTGAAAATGGCTACAGGGAGCCTAACCCCTTTATCAGATGCTAATCGCTCAAGGAAATTAATGGTGAAAACGTGCATGGTAGCCAATGTATAACAGAGGAAACTGAGTGTGTGGGAGCCTGAGACCGAGGTGACATACAAAGCATATTCATGTCCAAGAGGCCAAGGAGGGACACTGCAGGTACAGGGACAGTGGAGGAGACTGATACATCTGGAGCCATTCTTCTGTAAGCAAGGCGGCCGACTTTCAAGAGCCCAACAGATGTCCTACATACTGGAGTGACTTATACCGAAGTTCAGTTAAATCCATGTTTGGCTCAAATGCATGTTGACTTCTGTAAGGCTTCTGTTATGGTGTGTGTCTACTACACAATGAGTATGTGCTCAATATGCAGCCCGCATCTTGCCCATCATCCAAGGCCATGAAGTGCTAAGAATGTTTAGTACTATAAAACAAACACAATGCAGAGAATGTTGCCACAGATGGCGCAGTTGAACTAACCCAGGACCCAGGTTTGAATTGCGAAAAAATGATATAGCAATCAGAATAAAAAGGAACTGAAAATGAGTTTTCTAATAGTTAAATGACATTTCAGAGTATTTCGTAAGACATTTTTTTGTAACACAGATGTAGCTGTTGAGGAAGGAAACCGTCCAATACTGGCGATACACATCAATGGGCACCCCTAGAATCGATAGAGTGGCATCTTAACAATTCACCCGGAGTTGCTGTATTCTTCTGAACAATGAAGCATCAGAAGCCAGAACCTCACCTATCTGACCACCCAGCCAGCAATTAAAGTTCAACTCAGGCAAAATGGTTGACGGGGGTTGCTCCCATGTGAGTGTGGGAACTCGGAGGCGTACTGAGGAGTAGAACCAGCATTGCTTCAATACAGCGATAGCACATCTGCAATAACGACTTTGCTCTGAGAGGCTCTTTCTGGTGAATTCAAATCAACTGATTTAACAGGGGAAATGCAGGTTGCCCCAGTAGGGGGACAAAATAGATTAGACCTCAAGAGTCAAACTGATAGCAAGCAATAGATGTGCAGGGTGTAGAACGTAATCATTTTCATGTGACCATATGACCTGGCTAAGCAGGAGACTCGGGCACATAAAAAAAACTATCACAGCTATGTTGCATAATTACTGGTAAGTGATAACCATGCAGGTGCTGACAGAGATCTTAAGCACCCATTCTCAAATCCCTCCCAAATAAAAGACAAGCGTGGAAAACATTTTAATCAGAGCACCACACATCTGTACTTGAAAGCCCCATAAACCCATGAAAAACCTTTAATACTTCACGTGTTAATTTGGCAAATGAAATTTGACACGACCCACACAAGATATAAAAAGAGATCAAGATAATGAAAGCAATATTTCATGTTTCCCCCCCAATGCCGTAACCTACTTGAGAGTTACCATATTATTCCAGAGACAGACTGTCCTGAGAGCATGACAGCACACATCAATGAATGATAAAAAGAAAAAACACGATTGCTTTACCACTTCTCTGGAAATGCTGTGGCGCTTTCTGTCATGCTTAACATAGCCAATGGTTACAGCCCTTTCATAACTCCAGACTTGTTTTATTGTCAGCACCCGTCGGTCCCGCAGGGGTGGAGGGATGCAATAAAGTGACGCTCACGTGGGCACGGGTCTGTATGATATTGTGGACTGGGGGGGAGCTTCAGCACACAAGCCCCTGGGAGCCCGACCGCAGCAGGTAACTGCATTTGTTTGCTGCCCCCTCAGCTCAATTATAAATGCCCCTTCCACGGTTGCCAGACCACAGGGTTATGGAAAAAATTAGGAGTCAGGCCCAGGCGGCTTGCGTCTAGAGCAGGGAATATCCCTCTGAACACTCAGGGTGCTCGTGAGCCGTTCACAACCCCATTGCTCTCATAACGGGTTACAGGTTGTACGCAGTAGGAAATGCTTAACTTTTACAGACCGACTGACCTTAAAATCACAGCAAGGCTGGCTGCAACTGTATAAATCAAACAAATCTTTCAAAAATTTATTCTGGACATTAAAGACTGAATTAGCTCTGAGAACATGACAGGAGATCCTCAGGTTCGAAGCCACCTGGAATGTGTGTGTGCTTTTTAAAATATTTATGCTTCAAGGCGAGAGCTTTGCAGGTCTTCTGAGGACGGGTACATCTGCAGACTGTCCCACTTGTAATTCCTGTGGCGGTCTCGCCCAGGCGCAGGTTGCTGCCTTTACTGGCCGACCGTTAAATGTGCAGCGGCTTCACGGAAAAAACAGTCGCCACACACAGCTGACTGAACACACTTCGGGCAGGCAAGAGAGTCGGTCTGCAGGGTTAGTGCAGAACTCTGTAAGTAAACTTTTAAAGGGGGATTAAGGAAATAAGAGACTGAATGAATCAAAAGCAGGGGAAGAAAGTCAGGCAGGTAAAATTATGTCTACAAAGAGAAGCCTCGGCTAATGGGCATTACTGCTGCTGTGCAGCCGATAAGCAGTGAAAAGAAAGAAAACTAATCAATTTTCCTTCACGCCAGCGTACCTTCTTCATGCACAATCCTCCCGTTTTCACTTGCGATGACCAGCGCATACCAATTAAGGAATAACCCGTAAAGACTACATACCAGAGTCAAGACCCCAAGCATGCATTATTCATTTAGTTACATGTCAAAAAGTAGAGATGGCCAGAAACAGGTTCTAGTTGGGGGGTTACTGTCTTACGTGCTCGAGCTTGTCCCTCCTGCTGAGCCACACGCTGGCTGAGTAGTCTTGCTGCTGCACGGTGCTGTAGACGGTGCTGCCCATGCGAGTGACTGCCAGGCCGGGTGGCTCCAGGCGACCCTTCAGCTGCAGATGCTCGAAGCCACCCGTGGGCAGCTGGCCGTGCTTCACATCCATCTACTCCCACCTGACCAGAAGCCTCACAAAGTGCAAAGGATCCCAGCCGGGCCTCGACGTGTCTCCATGAGCCCGTTTGGGGTCCCTTCTGTTGCCCGCTGTGCCCACAATTGCAATAGAGTGGGCAGAGCTTCGGCGTCGGCTGCTGGAGCTACTCTCTCCCTCTCCTCTTTGCTCTCCCTCTCACTCTGTCTCTCAGACAGCTCCGGCTGGGAATCCCCCCCCCAAGCTGCACAGAAGATGTGGTGCAGAAGAGTTTCTGCAGCTACTAGGGTGTGCACCAGGCAAATGGCAGTGGGGGGACTTGGCGGGAGGAATAAACATCTACTTCTGAAATTTCCACCGGCACAAAGGTGAAGACTGCATGACCCAAATTCAGCTAGTTCCTCCCGTACATCAGCATCTATTACATCCAGTCATGTTGCAAACAGGACACTATGAAGTATTTATTTCCAGAGACTAAAATGTGGACTCTACTGACACGCACCTATTTGAATGGCCCTCCTCTACCTTGAGAGCTGCCACTTCACTTGGGGTGGCGAACTGTGACGTGGGGATTGGGGGGAGGGGGGGCATTCTCCTTCCAATACGGTCAGCTTTAATGGCACCTGTGCCAGGGAAAGGCCATGACTCACTCTGTGCCGCGGGTGCAAGCCTGCCAGGTTCCCAGAGCTCACTGCAGGCAAAGGTGAAGGAAGCAAGGAGCGAGAAAGGATTTCCAAACACTAAACCAAGCAGGATTCCCCCACTTGATGCGGCTGAATGCCTCTTTAAAAATTTAATGATTTACTGCAGCTATTAAATATTCATAGGACACCTCATGCAGTCAAACACCCCTAGGAACTGAATAAAGAAGTAAAGAAACACCTCATGCACTCATATAAACTGGATATCACTGGAAGGCGTGAGAATGACAGATCCAGAACGAATCAGATATGCATCTCTGAACCTTAACAGTTATACTGGTTGGTGTTGCTGACTCAGTGTCACTTGTTCATCCAGCACGAGAGAGAGAGAGAGAAATAGAGCCGCTAGCTGCTCTCAGCCAAACTGAAGGCCGTCTTTCCGGCCCCATCACATTCAGATCACGTCAGGGGAGAGTTATCAAAGGGATCGGGAACCCTCTGTGCGGGGATGGCTGCTGCGGTTTGCTCTGTTGCATCCAGCCTGGTGTTGCGGCTTTGCCACAGTGAGCTTTGAGGACAGGATTGAAAGGGGCTTTGTATTTCATGTGGAAAAGGCCAAGTACCCCGCCTCCACCACCACCTCACTGTTAGCATCAGGGACGGCTCAGCTAAGCCTATGTGATGAGGCATGTAGGAATCTCCTCAAAATGCTTTTGTATGTATAGTAATTTATTTACATATCTATGTTGTCACATTTGACAGCTTCTGGCCAATAGGATTGCAGAAAAAAAGCCTATTTGTTTATTGCCCTTGAACAACCGTTAAGAGACAGATTCTATCACAAAGTTTACTGTCTGCAAAAATTGCATAGGCTCTCAGATTGCAACTTCCTTCATCCACGTTTTAAACTGGGGCAACAGTGATCTAGAGCCTGAGTTTCAAAACATAGGTCCTGTGTTCTGTAGATTGGAAACCAGTCCATTGCAGGAACACAAAGAATGAACTTTTTTTAAGAACGCCGCGCATGTCTTTGTGTCTCCGGTGAGATAACAAAACTACCCCAATTATCAGCCAGAGCAGGTCTGCGGGCTGATTCCTCTGGGAAATCCGATGGGCAGTTCTTCACAGTACAAGAGCTGAAAAAACCAGAGCTTTAAAAATCGGTAGTTTCACACAGCTTAAACACAGAGCAGCATCCAACCTGCTGAAATCAGACCATGATACTTCTCAGCGGATGGCAGCCTGCCCGTCTACATTTACACTATCTGTGTTGGTCGCGATTCCTTGCATATGCTTACAAAAGAATCAACATGGCATTGAGGTAAACAGCTGATATTTATGATTCTTTACGCTACCTGACACATATGGTGCAGAAGCAAGCCTCCATTATACATGACGGAGAATGAATTAACCAGCCAATGAACAATCACTGTGGCGTCTTAAGAATGAACATTAATGCAGCCATAGTAAATACCACCAATGAGGTAAAAAACAATTTAATACATTAAAAAAAATTATCCTGCAATTCTTGATTCTCTCCACTGATATTTAATTTTCTTTTATTTTTACTCTAAAGCATGAGTTACCTGCAAGACCTTCCTGCTTAATCTGCTGCATGCTGGTTGGTCCCACTGAACCTCTAGGTGTAGATTTTACATTGCATGCATCAATTATTAAAGCGCTTTCGTGACAATGCTATGAAACTATGTTTTTAAAATTTAATAGTAGTTATTAAAAATCAAAAAAAGAAAATGTTTGTACCAGACATAATAGAGTAAACTTACCTCCATCCCTATTTCAGTTGGACTGCAAGTGTTTTAAATGACCAAAACACTTGTGAACAAAAATTATACTCAGCCTTGTCCAAAGCTTAAGAACAGCACATAATGTCCCACAGAAGGCCCTACTGTGCCACCCTTAAATAAAGGCAGGTTAATTAGGCAGCTTCGAGGAGCCCCTTCTGCAGAATATATACTTGCTTCATGACCACCAACACTAAAAGGCACAGTCATCGACAATGTTTCAGGTCTTCGTGTTTCCTTAGACACCGTGAAGTAGAAGTATCTTAGAGTCTTTGCACAGCTACAAGAATGATTTCATAAATGCACTTAAGCTAAAAGGTGGCCTCTCTAACATGTTTTAAAGAAAATCAACCCAAAGAGCAGAACATTTCAGCTGGGCTTGGAGCAATGGCAGTGCAAGTCCTTTGAATGCCCAAGTACAAGAACATAACCCTACGATGAAATTACTGTCTAAAAAAGGCAATATACACTATACATGTATGTTTTAATTCAGACACTGATGGCATATACAGCAAATTGTAATATTATACTTGACTACCCTGATGCTCTCCAGTTGACACAATGTGCCACAATATAGTCCGTAATTTTTATTCATTTTCTAAGTCATAGAACGCCTATCACAGGAAGCACAGGGCACACATTACAGGCAATTTAAAAACAACACTCCACTTAACGTGATGCCGTGTGACTGTGGAAAGACACCAGAGCCCCCAGAGGAAAGGACACAAACACATGAATTCCACACATGCAGAGAGAGACAGGGTTCAAATACAAAATGCCTGAGGGGTTGGGTCACATCGCTACCGCCATGCGTACTCTACTGCAGTGCTGCTACATCAGCAAAATATGTGTCACTGGCAGATAGTTTTATAGCAAGGCATTTGGAAAACTACTAATCATTCATTTATTAAGATGTATTCACTAAAACATGCAGCTGCTGATGTCCAGGATTGGGCATGTACTACAATCCAAAAAGTTTTATTTAAATGTGGTTGTTGAAGGTCAAGGGGTGTGGTATCTTCTGGTCAGCCCTGGAACTGAATGCCTTTAATTCCTTAAAAACTGGATCTGTCAAGTGCAGTACTCAGAAAATGCCTGATCTTCCTGTATGATATCAGGAAGATCAGGATTTTTCTGTCTGAAGATGAAGCTCAGCTTCTAGTCCAAGCACTTGTTACCTCGCAACTAGACTACTGCAATGCTATACTAGCAGTTTTTCCACTTTGTGCTGTCAGACCAGTGCAGATGATTCAAAATGTGGCAGCATGTCGGATATTCATTCAGCCCAAACCATCTCGCGTCACACACACCTCCTTGTCGGTCCTCACTGGCTCCCTATTGGGGCTTGAATCAAGTTCAAGTCCTTGGTGCTCAATAAAAAGGCACCCATCCTGATCAAAAGGCTCGAAAAGACCTATGTCCTGTCTCTCCTCCTTTAGTCAGCAAGCACCTTTTGGATCTCCAAGCAAGCAGTGTCACCCCCAACTGTTTTCTTGTGTGGTTCCCTGTGATGGAATAAACTGCCAAACCACGTTCAATCATCAGACTCCCTCTCCACCTCCAAGAAACTCTTCAAGAGCGATCTGTTCCATAAATTTCTCTACCAGCCTGATGAATTTCTCTACTAGCCAACATGTATGTTTGTAGTGTGCTAATTGCCTCACTTTTACATTACTTTGAGCAGAGGCACCTGCTAAATGTGTAAAATTGAAATATGATGCTGAATCGCTGATGCAAATTAAAGCACATTCTCCTAAAATTTTAGGATGTCCAGATTTGTACCCCTGAATATTGGAGGACAACACCGCCCACTCTGTCAAGTCAATGGGGGAGGGGGACGGGACAACACTACCACCTGTCTCAGCATTGCTGCAACTACTGGATAGCAGGTAGAGTAGAGGTTAAGGACGTAGACCTTAAGGATTTTGGTTCAAGTCCCAGAAAGGCCTTTCCTGTAGTGCCCTTCAGGAAAGTACAGAACTGCTCCAGTAAGCGCGTCCAGCTGTGTTTTTGAGCAAAAATCACATTGAATAAAGACTGTTCAGCAGTTTCCATAAAGGTACATAAAAAAACATGAAGGAAAGAATGCACATTACGTGTTTAGGGAAATTTTCACCATGATGCTACACTTCTTTTCCAAGCAAAGACAGTGCCGCAATTGTGCCAGAATGTAATTAGGTGCAAATGTCAGATTTGTAATTATTTTAGCATTACTGACATGACATAACATTTTTTAAAGTGTTTTGAGGAATGGTCTGTATGCTCTTAATGGATATGCCCTTTTTTAATGTTCGTTGCACAGTGGACAGAAAATCAATTAAACCAGCCAATGATGGCCAAGCTCAATACCGAGCACAGTTATCAATTATGTGGGTTAAGAAAAAAAACATACAACTAGGGATCCTTTTTCCCTCTGAGAAAGGAAACAAGCCACTTTGGCCTCATAAATGGTAAGTCCCTTTCCGAAGTTTATCGTATTTTATTCAATTATTGCTAATCCATCCATCTTCTAACCACTTATCAGGGATGGTCAGGGATGTGTATCATAAGCAGCATAGGGCAGAAGGCTGCGGTACATTTATATACCTTTATTGTAAGTCTTTAGACTGTGAAAAGAAGCAGGAGTGCCTAAATGAAATCTGCAACACATGCAGAGGACATGCAAACTTGCAAACTCCACACACGCACCCCAAAAAGTGGTGTACAGAAAGCCATCTCAAGACACACAAGAGAGTAAACCTTTAAGTAGTTCGCTAGACCAAAAGGGGTCTTATCTGGTGTGTGTCCCATATATATATATATATATATATATATATATATATACACACACACACACACACACACACACACACACATATGAGTCACCTACTCTATGTCATGCTTCATTGGAGACCAAAGTATATTATTTTTTCCTGCCCAAATGTGCCAGAGCCCAGGTCTAGGGAAAAAACAGAACTTCTAGGAACTAAATGAAATGACAGTACTGACCTCCTACTGGTAAATGCCCTTTCACCAGCATGCTCGTGACATGTCACCATGCTCCAAAGTGTGAGGTGATCGTCAGCATCCTGGAAGATGACGGCACCCCCTGCAGAGTTACAGGACAGCCGGGTCAAACAGTGGGAGTGCAGGAAGATGACCTGTCATTGGTGCCGCTGCCATGTTGGAGGAAGGTCTGCGTCCCACTGGCAAGCCGCACTGAACAACATCAAAATCATTCTTAGATTAGGACCAGGTGTCTATCTTACGTTTAAGGTTATCCAAAGTAAGAGCCTCCCTTTCTCAGCACTCCAATTCTGCTGCCACCCCACGGATCTCCCTGCAAAATCTTACTTTTATTCTTATCACTTTTCGTCACACTGGGGAACAGAGTCATCCATCAGAAAGGCCAGCAGTCTCTCTGTGTGACTGGTAATTCAAGCCCATGTCAAACTGAAATAGGACCCCCTTTGAGGCTGAATTCAATGGCATCAAGCTGTACCTAATCACCAGAAAGAGAACTGCTCTGGGCTCACTTTTTACTATATGGATTAAAATATTACCATTCCCCTTATTGCCCATAGAGTCTGGAAAATAATCATGAAGATGTGGCAGTGTAAAACTTTCCTGAGACAAGAGACCTAACACAAATGTAGAGATTAAGATCATAGTAGAAACATTTGGACAAAACGTGTACAGCCCTCTCTTAATTAAAGTAGTCTGGGGAAAGAACACATTGCTGGAAAACGGGTTGTAGGTTTGTACGTGGTTAGACAGACGGCAAAGACCTTTTGGTTAACAACAGAGGCAGCGTTTTCATTCTGCAACATCACCCAGCTATCAGTGGATTTTAATGTTGTGTATAAACATTTAGACGCTAGAATCAACCCGGCGTCTGTTTTCACTATTCGCTGATCTGCGGTCTGGTTTCATCAAGTCTACATGTTCAAGTAATTACGTCGCATATTAAGATAAAGGCTCCTAATTTTAATCAGTTTCAGATTTTACCACTAGATAGTATTAAAGTGAAATTAATTCAGTTCTGACTTTAATTTCACTTACTTGCTAATGGCTTCATAAGCGATAGCCGTCCGTATATGACCGATAATCCTCACATAACCCCAAAGTCAAGATTTCAGATCGGATTAATTAACAGGTCGAAATAACTCTTGGGTTGATTGTGGTGCAGCAACCATTCGCAAATACCTAATAAATAAATAAGTAAAACTTTAGTTTAAGAATGATGAGGTTTATGACGAAAAATTATACCAGCGAAACTATTCTGCGGTTGAAACTATCGTACGGCATTTGATACACATTGAACATCACGCAGATCATCTATTTTAAGCTCGAAACTGTAAAACGTTAAATGCCAGAGTTCATTCCTTAATGGACATTAAGAAGGAAACCGATGGTACAGTATGAGGTTTTTAACATTTAAAATAAAAAAGCAGCCCGTTAACGAGACAGCCGGGTTCACCTTTGAAAAGACGCTATCACCCCGAGCTCGTGCTCCGGCGCGGCGCGAGCAGCAGACCGGGCTCCCGCTCATCCCTCGAGCTGCGGCTGACAGCCCTTCACGAAGCCAGCAACAAAGCGCCTGACCGCAGGGCCTGCCGTAGCCTTATCCCGCATAATAAGCCCCGAGTAATAAGTAGGAAGCAGGCTGTGGGAGAAAGCTACACTTTCCAGTTTAACAAGCAGAACTTTGCCTTCCACGCAGACAGGGAAAAAACAGCATGATTTCCCAAGAGCAGGAGCTAAACCAGCTGGAGTGTAGCCTTCTGCTACGCTGTTGCTCAGATGCATTCACATGCACAAGCACTAACAGTTAATTGTAGTCCATTTGTATTTTGTTAGTATATTAGAGGATGTATTTGCTTTTTAGATTAAAGAAAAGACATTTACATCTGGCAAAAAGTTTAATCCCCTGTGATATGCCTGGGCCCCAAAAGTCTGGTTTTCCACTGGTTTAGCTGGGAAGCTATAATAACATGTTGGGATGCTGGTTTGGTGTTACGTGCTGCAGAATGTGCTAAGCCAGCCTGCGGCAAAGTGAGATGAGCCCCCCCCCCATCATTCCTGTCTGATAGACGCTGCAGTGGGGACCGTCGATTAGCCTTCTCTGTCTGAGTTTAATCGGTGCTCATCAGGATCAGTGCTTCCTGTCTGCCCAATTAAGTGTCTGAACTGGTGCAGGCAGTCATGAATCTATGTGTGAGAGTCAGGATGTTCCTGTCTTTGGTACAGAAAGCCAACAGTGTTTGAGAAGAAAGGGTGATTCATGAATCATGACACCAACCCGCCCATAACTGTCATCATGGACAAATGTAATTGTAAAACGATTAACACACCAGGATGACGTAACTCCCTAAGCTGGGTGCCTGAAGGCATATCGATGTTGTCTTGTGGCGATGGCTTCAGGAGATCCTGACAGCAGAACTCCGGGAAGCTCCAGCAGGAGTGCATGACCATGACTCCTGGGTACTCAGTTTGGAGCTTGACAGTGGGCTCTCATGATGGCGTTAAGGAGGACAATTCTCTGTTCCAGTGCTTTCTACCAGCCCAGTGAAATGCACATTTGACCATTCATGGACACTCAAAGAGCAGACCGGGGGCTATATGCAGGATATAGATATTTATAACCCCCCATATGTGCTGTGAAATGTAAGTTACTATTTATATCATACTTGTTATTGTATCTTTTGTAATGAATTTGGTACAAGGGCATAGAAGGACAATAAAGCAGAAAAGACCATTATCAGATGAATTTAGAGGTGGAGCAGAATGTGACACAAATGACACATGGTTGTAAACCACAGGTTTCCTGTTGGATGATTTGATTTAGTTTGGCTTGAAATTAAAATGACTCCTGCTAATTAAGACTGCTTCGATGTTTCATTTCCCGAGCAGGAAAGTTCGCTAATTGGATTGGTTGCCCCCAATTAGGTCCTTCCAGCCTTGAGGAATGGTGTAGTTCTCCTATGAGAGATAAAAGATGATTTTTTTTATCCAGAATTCTGAAGATTATTCATTATCTTTCTTTCAAATGCTGATGTTTTATCTTATTTATGGATAGTTTTAAATGTGATATATATATATATATATATATATATATATATATATATATGTGTGTGTGTGTGTGTGTGTGTGTGTTAAAGTCATCAAAATACAAAATTGTTTAAATATGCATGAACAGTCAAGATTATTGACACCCTTGCATTTCAGGTATATCATGTATGTTTTTGGAAACACAGAATATTTAAATTGTGTTTAATTTTACGTCATATTACAAAAAATTCCTTTTTTCCTTCCAACACTGAGCTCCGTAAGAGTAATTAGGTATTGAGAGCAGGTTAGACATTTTTAACCAATAGCATCTCATTTCAATGTAGGACCTTAATTTGTGACCCTGCTTAGCATAGAGTGCAGGGCTGGGGGTTCAACCATTAGACACGGCAGGATGGTTATGCAGCAGGAAGCATTTGCTCTTGGAGAATCAAGATCAGTATTATGCTCTCATCTGCTGAAGTGTCAGGGAAGGAAATTAAAATATATACTTGGAATATATTGAATAAGGGTGAATTGTGTGACAATGTACATTAGACACTAGGAAGATTGAAGATGCATCTTTCCACTCATTTGAATGATTTGCATTATTGCATTTTTGTGTTTAAAGTCATAATTTTTCTCAGTTTCAGCATCTTTTTCCCCTACTAAAATCTATGGAGTAGAAAATCTGTCTTAGCACTGCAGAATCTCTCCCTGTCTTTTGATATTTAGACTGCAGCACTCTCTCATTGTTGTCTTCTCCTATTATGTCAGCGATCACGCTTGGAGAATCCTCCAGCTGTTCATTCTGGTCTTCTCTGTTTTCCGAGTCCTTTATCTTCAAGGCATTATTTAAAATCACTTCTTTATTTTTGTCTGGAAAAAAAAACTCATTATGTGAAATGAAATCCAACCCTACTGAGCTAAGTGGAGCCTCAGCGCTATTACTGGTGAGGGACACATGCTCTCGAATCCATGCGGTCAGTATCATTGCATGTAGCGAGATGTCGATGCACTCAGCACAAACCCTTTCAAGGTCGACGGCTAACTTTCGGCTCAAAGTCGTTGCCTACGTTAACCTCTTTTGTACGTTTCACAGAACATTTCTCATAGTCAAACACTCACCTGGCTTGATTCCCAGGGCCAACAGGGTGCCATGGCAACCGACATTAGGAGGCCTTCCAAAGTGAGAAACAGGGAGCTGTTCTGTAAGGTGGGGTGCCAGAACTCAAGGTCAACACCCGGGGAATCTGAACTGTGGTGATTTGATTGGGGGGGGGGGGGGGATTCAGCACGTTACCGTTCCTGCACAGAGCCCAGCCTCCCTCTGTACATTGTTACTTAACGTCACATATACACTGAACATGACAGTGACATCAGGAGGGTGCTGATAAGGGTGGAAACGATTAGTCACAATGTTTCATGTGTGTCATCGGCTGGATATTTCATTAGGTCACTTTGGATGTGACTCCTTTCTGAAGGGTAGTCCGCTTCTGGGAGATGAATCGGCAACCTTCATAAGTCTGTGGCTTCTGTCCTCTGTAGACTTCCAGGTATGAAAAATAACATTATAAAGTATATTGCAGCAGGAGTTGACTCGCCAAAGCCAGCCTGATGTTTGTGTCTTTGGTAGCTTGAAGCTGAGGTAGGAAATAATTACAAGTGTCTTGCGCATGACCAGTCTAAGGCTTCCTGGGTACTGGAGCGTGTGAGCCATCACAAAAGTTCTGCTTTGTCCTAGGAAGTGGTACTGGACTTCTGTTTGGTGTTACCAAACCAGGTTGCAGCTAGACAGAAGGTCACAATCTTCACATGGCATCACTTAATAGTGGACAAATCAACCATGCACTGAGCATTTGACTGCAAGGCTATTAGTGATGGGGCAGCACAGTGGTGCCTCTTGTTTCTGGGACCAGGGTTCGAGTCTCCACCATGGCTCTATGTGGAGGTTGTATATCCCCACCCCCCAATATAAAAACATGCTGAGGTTGATTGGAGTTGCTTGTGTCAGTGTCCCCTGTGATGGGCTGGTGCCTCATCCTGGGTTGTTCCCTGCCTTGTGCCAATAGTCTCTGGGATAGGATCCAGACCCCCTGCAAGCCTGAATAGGACAAGTGGCTACAGAAAATGGATGGATGGGCTACCAGTGACAACACCTCGAGATTTTACGCAGAGCATTACCCATAAGGATACACTACTGCAATTGGGACCTGTTTGATCTCAATTGATAATAAATGTTAACTAATGTCGTTCTGGCAGAGCACTGAGGTACACGGCAATAGTTCTTTTCATTTTAGGTGATGTCATTACATGTCTCCAACACTCTGCAGACCCAGCGTGTCAGAAACTAGTTATTTCTTTTTTGCATCCCTTGCAAATTTGTCATCAGTGTTTAATTCAACAATGTATGTCAGGACTTAAATGTATGTTGTCAGTTGTGTTGAACATTCTGCTTTTGCCATCCAAAAATCATAGCTACTCTTCATCTTACTGCCCTCAGAAGTCTTGTCTTCATTAGGGTGCAATGCACAAAATATTATTAGTCCCTACAACTGACACCTTTTATACACTATGAAAAGTACATTTAGTTACTTTTTAAACAGCTGCAGCATTTGTGAGAAGCACTTTGCTAAAAATGGTTTACATAAATATGTGAAGTACTAAAAATCCTTCAAAACTGGACAACAGATCTTGATTTTTTTATTTTATTGAAAATAATTGGGAGGATGTGATTAACAAAATAATGCAAATACACAATGTATAACAAAATTTCAGTACATGAAAAAAAAACAAAATAAATATGTTATTTTAGGTGTCCATAAAAAAAGTCAAAACACTGATAACGTATAAACAACTTAAAAAAAAGTGTACCGAACACTTTGTTTTCTTTTTTGATATCTTCTTTTGTGGTTCGCTGACAGACCCACTTCTTTTGTGGTTCGCTGAGTTCCCAATCTAGTTTTTATTCCCATGATAATGACCCTGGACCACAGGCGGGCCCTGCATCTGGTTCTGAATACAGAAAGATGAGTCCCGAATTTGATTTCGTCTTTGTTTACCTCCTAATGTCAAAACGGCCTTGAATGCGATATCCTGCTTCCCAAGCGAACAAAAACACATAAACCACCCAGGATGTGCAAATTAAAGATATTCATCCCCGATATCCATTCGTTTCCCGATTTTTAATATTTGTTGTTTTTTTTCCAGTCGGTGTTAGTTCTTCTGTTTTGTTTCCTTTGCATTTCCATTGTAGTATCGGGCACTTAGTGGCGTCATACACTTATATACTGAAAAAAGAAAAAAAGCGGCATTCATTTTTCCAGGTACCTAACTTCACTATTGCTTAAATCTATACATACCATATCGCAAAGGCATTTTTTACCTACTGCACTGAACTTTACATGGAATAGACCGGAAAACATAAACTTTTCTTTCTGCAAGAACCTCACGGTAAGTACAGATAAGCAGCAGTGTTAACAAGGAGTTCCAGGTACATACGTCTACAGAATTGGGGAAAATCTCCCTCCCAAGTGGACAATTAGAGTACGGAGCAAATGGCAGATCAGAACCGTTTCTGAAGGCTAACAAACCGCCACCACGATTTTGTTACAAATATGGGAGAATGCTGACCCCAGAACATTACGTCTGGCTGACTTCATTAATGGCGGAACTTGGCTTAATTCCATCCTTCTGGGCAAGATATGCCTATTTTCACATTGAGTCCTTCAAGTTTAACTGAAATTTTTTGCTTGCTTTTTCACTAACAGCAGGTAGAAGCCTACTGGGGATGCAGAGGTCCCTGTAAACTAAAATGTGACTTTTAAAATTAAAAAAAAAAACAAAACAAAAAAAAATAATAAAACACAATGTGGACTTTGCACTTCGCTTAAACCAGCACACCAAGCTGTTTCCAGTGCAAAAATGACCTGGGTCACCAGTCTTTATTACTTAATTTCTAAGAGTTTACGTCTCTAAAGAGAAAAAAAAACTATATACACACTATCCCATTCTAATACTTCCAGTTAACAAAGAGAAAGAGTTACAATGACAGGAGGAAGAAACTGAAATTAACCACGGATATGAAGCTAACAGCTGTTTGGTTACTTTTCAGAAAACTTATGAAACAGGCAGTACTGGTGTGTAGCAAAACTAGGTAGTGTATTCCTCGAAGTGGTTAGAAACTGTTTAGAAAACCGGTTTTAAGGGGTCAGGTTTCCTTGGTTTTTCCTGCATTGTTTGTTTTTTCCCCCCCACTGCATCCTGTAGAATGTCAGTCTTGGAAAACTGAACAAGAAGTCAGTCTTATGACAGCATAATGCACTTATGAACCAGAGAAGGTGCATCTGCCTGTCTTACAACAGGAATAATACAAGGTGAAGAATTCGTATCAGATACACACAGTCCGAGTACAATCGCTGGGCGCATTCCACAATACAGTAATCTGCTGTAACTTGGGTTGCATTTGAACAACTTGTGCAACACGTCTAAGGTTTAATTAGCTTTCAGTTTTACACAGGGGGTTATTCTTATGTCCTTTCCTTGCAATTAAAGACATTTAATCGCATTTTTTTTAAACAACCACACACTGTTACCTTTTAATGACTGTGCAGTGCTGCCATAGTTTCAGTGTGTCAGTTATAGTCATGTGACAAAAAATAGGGTAGTCATGGCGACAGACGATATGGCCACAGGAGAATTTCTATTATGCTACTCACGGAAGAAAAAAAAAACCACAGAGATCTTTTTTTTTTTTTTTTAAACAAGACAGAAAGAAGAATCTTGGGAAGGGAGACGCTCTTGATTCCTCCTGGTCCTTGCCATGTTCCTCACAGGAACATGTTGAGGGGTGGGGATTGTTGCACAATTGGCCCAAGCCCAGCCTCCCCCAGTCACATGACCTGTGTGTGAACCTCTTCTGCAGTACAGATGGAACTGCTTTATGAGACTTGATACTCACACCAGACAAAGAGGCTACAGTTAGGGTTAGCAGGCTGAGGTGGTCTGTAGTCAGAGAGCTGAAACGTTGGGGGGGGGGGAGCTGAAATATATACATATTCAGTACTTATGCATCTGTAAAATTTGAACCATCTCACAGGACAGGACCCTTGTAGCCTGGAGAGTGCTACAGCGAGGCGGGGGGGGGGATTCCCATGCATTCACTTGTGGGTGAGGGGGCTCTCCTCGCCGCTGGGATGCTGGCGGCTGAAGCGAAGAGCCACATCTCGCTCAGTCTCCTGGGGCTGGACCGGCACCACTGGGGCTCGGGACGCACCATTACCCGACCCCTGTGGGCACAGCGGACTCGTCTTGGGTTTGGGCAGAGTGGGGCTGGTCAGTCCCAGGCTGGTCAGAGCATCCAGTGTGCCGTCCGGATCCACCATGACATTGATGACTGAGGGAAAGACAGAAATCAGCACATCCTATTGACTGGACATGGGGGGTGTGGGTGAGAGGGCCGGGTGTGGGTGAGGGGGCCGGGTGTGGGTGAGGGGGCCGGGTGTGGGTGAGGGGGCTGGGTGAGGGGGCCGGGTGTGGGTGAGGGGGCGCGGCTCTTGTCCTCATTTGCGCAAGTTTGCAAATAAGGCGCACATGAAATTCAACTCGCTCTGTTCATATTAGGAACACAAGCAGGGCCAAATAACCCCCCCCCTTGCAGCAGCCTTACCTTGGAGCTGCTTCTCCACCCTCTTCAGCTCCAGCAGAATCGATGAGATCTCCTGCAGGGCGCCATGCCAGAGAGGAACAAGAGGAGGGTTTGGGGAGGTGTGGGAAGGGGGAGATATCAATGACTGCATCACGCCTCTGGTGCCCAAATGGGTCGGGCTCATGTAATTCTGCAAGCATGGAAGAGTCATCACTGTCAGGCAGCAGAGGAAACTCAGCCAAATGATCTGCACTGTAGGTGCTAATCTTAGGACTGCGAAAAACATGGAAGGAAACGAACGTGTCATCCTGGAAGATGCTCATATACCCCGTTTTCAGGACGATAAAGTTTTTTCCAGTGTTTAGAGGTCAATAAATTGATCGGCCTGAAAACAAACAACCAAGAAAAATCACCTATTTTTTAAGCATTTTGTGACCGATTAATCAGACTATATGGTCGATACAGTGCTGGCTGGGTGGGGTTCTCTTCTCCGGGGCTGTAATGTGGTTTGCAGTAACCTACAGCAGCCAACCTGCACACCAACCAAAAGTAAGAGTTCTAAATTCCAGCCGCTTACACCAGTTTCACTTGATGAACACCAGCCACAAAGCTGAAACCAACTCACTTTTGAAACGTATTTTGTTACATTTGTCAAAAACTGAATCATGAAATGCCAATGAGACAGAAAATAAAAACCACATTTGATCATCACAATGATCATTTTAAAATGATCATTCTCTTGTTTAAAGTGTGATTAATACTTAGAGTTAAATTATTTATGTATGTTATTAATGTAAAATAAATATTTAAGCAGTTGTGTTATTTGTTATTTTTCTGCTTAAGAAAATGGGCCTAATATCGTCCATCGCCCCCCCCCCCCCCCCCCGAAAAAATCAGCATCGGCCAATAAAAAACCCTTATCGGTTGACCTCTAGCTGTGTTATGTGCATGGAAATGACCAATAAATCTCAGTGATTATTGGAGGACTGGGCATCTGGACATCCGTCAGAGGCTGGAGCTGTCCAGCTGAGGCTGTACAAGGCCACCCACATTTCCATCGTCACTGGGAAGAAGCCACCATTAATCACGGCCCAGATTCGCTTAGCTGGCAAACCCAAGTGCTGCAGTGTGACTGACCCAAACTCAGGCACGGGCAAATAAAAAATAAACAAACAAAAGATTTACAGGGTCCAGGCCTGCAGCCTTTGCTGCTGAATTCACCACCTTTGTTCTGGAACGAGCTCGTACATCAGGACTTAATCAGCACCGGGACCCGAGGTCTGTAACCATGTCGATCGCCTGCCTTGCAGGTCCAACACGCCGCTGAGAAACAGGACCTGCTGCACCCAACAGTGTTACATCAGCAGCTTCTTTTAGAGCTACCTGCCCACAACTCAGGGCTCCACCAGCCTGTGACGACACGCTTAACTGGATGGAAATCATCAGCTGTCAGACTCCCGGGAAGGCAGCACTGGGCCCTTCGACGGCAACCGTGTAAACATGTAAATCGGAGTCATCACATGGTCAAGGGCCATTCCTCTCCTGTTCTGCCTGAGGGGGAGTACGGACCACGCCTCACTGGCCCAAAGGGGAGCGCAGAAGGTGAGGCAGAACTAAGCTTGCGTGTCATGAATTAATTCAGCCGGACAGGCCTGGTGTCTCAGAGGTACCGGGCAGAGAATCACAAACAGGCCCAGGAACGGGATGAGGAATGTGGGCCAGACAGTCGCTGGGAATCGGGGGCCAAACTCTCTCAATCCCCCACCAACAAGCGACCAGCCTGCACCTCCTGAGAGCTACTAGCCGCCCCCCCCCAAGGGGCAGGACTCAGTTCACAGTGGCTCTTTGGCTTGGCTACTGTATGCACTATATTAGGAGTGTTTTAGGTTTATTTGGTGGGATTTGTGGTCTTTGTTGGCCTGCCGCCTTCAAGCTTCCACCGACCAGAATCAGGAACCTGATCTTCCCACTTGCAGTGTTTTATAGCTCTCAGTGTTGCCCCTTCTACCGGGTGCAGACGACACCAGACAGCCGAGGCCAGCGTTGGCCACAGGGAACTACACCATCACATTAGTTACACACTTTAAAAACTCTTCAGCAGGTCCTTTATTTTTAAATTCAACTTTTGAGTTATGCAGTGTTTGACACAGAGGTGAAGTCTTGGTCCATTTACTTTGGGGGTTTAATCTAAACTTTCCTTGACAAAAGGTCATGTTCTTGGCATCAAACCATGTTTAGACTGCAGGCACATAAAACACCTAAACATTTATTTATTTCCAGAAAAATAGATCATAAACTTTTAAAGAGGTTTTCGGTAAGCAACAGGGAAGTCACATAAATTTGGTCCTGGCAGTCAGTGTTGGATGATGCTAATTTCTGCCTCGGTGTTTGTGTGATTGATCACCCTTGCGAGGAATCGGAGAAAACAGCCCAGCCCACCTTCTCCACCAAGGCTGTGAGGCTTCCTGGGATCGTCATCCCACTTAATTTGGAATAAACACACCCTGAGGCAATAATAATATTGGATTGAGCCTAAGAGCACACAAGGGAATATGGAGATCCTCTGCGCTTTTTTTATACTGATATTGAAGGCTGGGATATTTCAGTCCTATCACCCATATGTACTTAACAGGCAATGTGGCTGAACTAAGCAGAAAGTCAGCAATATCTAACAGAATGAAGAATGCATGTGGGGGAGTCTGCAACCTACCCAGAATCCCCTGGGGGCAGTTGATCATTGCAAGAATCCACTGCTGGAAAGGAAGTGGCCCACTCACCTTGTTGGACGTCTTGAGAAGTGGGATGTCGCTCTCCGCTCGGAGTTTGCTCTCGATCTCCTCCCAGTTCCTGTCTTTGTCCTTAAAGAGTATCCTGGGGGGGGGGTTAATGGCGTCAGGGCACCCAATCAGGGCCGTTGTGAATACCACAGCATGGTGTCCATGGCAAACAGCGAGACCCGGTCCTGGTTAGCATTTAAAGCTCCAATGGGCCACAGTATTTAAATTATGAATGGCAAGGTCAGAGGCGGTACAGTGGTGGGGGTGGAGGGACAGCAGAGAGGCAGCCTCTCGCTCACCCTTCAGCTTAGGAGCTGCACGTCTGTCCAGGCCTCTCTGCCTCTTCACCTCACTGCCTTTCTGACTCTCTGCCTCACTGCCTTTCTGACTCTCTGCCTCACTGCCTTTCTGACTGTCTGCCTCAGTGCAGCCCCGTGTGGCCTTTTAAGACTATGGCCTTGCATTTTTTCTCATTTTAATTCCCAGAGTTGCAGATGTGAGCTTTCCCTGATAAAATTGGTGCTGCAAATATTGCATCCCGTGTGTGTGTGTGTGTGTGTTTTGGGGGGAGAGATGGGGGCTCAGAATGGCTTCTTAGGGTGTGGTACCAGAATGCTGAAAGTCTGTCTAAGGAGAAGAATCAAAATGTGTTTTTAGCTCAAAGGCAAGACAGCTAATTAGTTTCAGCCTGTTAGAAGGGAATTTTTAAAACGAGTTTTCTTCCCAGGATGTGTGTTTGAAGAGCCTGTCAGCGCCGACCTGCGTCCTTCCAGCCGGCCAGCCACACAATGACGATGACGCGTCCCTGAGCTTGTCTTATGTGTCAAACAGGACAGGATGAAGTCGCCTCCTGCTTGAAAACCTTTTTTTATCAGCTTGCTCTTTTGAATTCAGCAGCATTGGGTATGAAAACAAGAATCTAGATACATCTGTGTGTCTCACTACATTTCAATTAAGCCTGAATTGAAACGTCAGACTCGCCAAAGCAGAAAGGCAGACAGACAGAATATCCTCTGTCTGATATAGCCCCCTGCTGGATCAAGAAGTGCACTACAATCTGGCTGATCATTGTTCATATGGATTCGTTGTAAGACAGGAAAATAAACAAATACCGAACCCAATAAGAAACTATCCGATGACTAAGAGATAAGAAGATATTCTAAGCCATCTTTCAATTGGCTTTATGATGAATATACCTATAGAGCTGAAACTCTGTACAAACATGCAAGTAACAGGACCATTACCTGATTTTTCCAGCTGTCTTGTCCACGGATTGGCGGATTTTTCCAGACAGCTGGGAAACTGAGGTGAGGAGCAAACTGTCCAACACAGCCTGACAAGAGAAGCATGATATCACAAGCATGACATCACAAGCATGACATCACAAGCATGATATCACAAGCATGACATCACAAGCATGACATCACAAGCATGTTATCACGAGCATGATACGCAACAAAAAGAACTGAGGCACCGAAGAGATGTTGCGGTTTTGGAGAACTCAGGATTTCCGAAGGGAAAAGTGCCTCCCCTATTGGACGTCTGATATAATGTTCATTATTGCTGCTTTTGCCGTTAGAAGAAAAGAACGCCAGAGCTGACCAGCCAGCCAATACCAGCCAGCCTGACGCCTATCCCAGCAGCCTCAAAAAGCGAGGCTAGAATTTCTGTAGTACAATCGTGGCCAAAAGTTTTAAGAATGACAAGTATTGGTTTTCACAAACTTAGCTACTTCAGTGTTTGTAGATCTTTTGTCAGATGTTTCTATGGGATACTGCATATAATTCCAAGTATTTCATAAGTGTCAAAGGCTTTTACTGACAATTACATTAAGTTTATGCAAAGAGTCAATATTTGCAGTGTTGGCCCTTCTTTTTCAAGACCTCTGCAATTCGCCCTGGCATGCTGTCAATCAACTTCTGGGCCAAATCCTGACTGCTGGCAGCCCATTTTTGCATAATCAACGCTAGGAGTTTGTCAGAATTTGTGGGTTTTTGTTTGTCTACCCGCCTCTTGTGGATTGACCACAAGTTCTTAATGGGATTAAGGTCTGGGGAGTTTCCTGGCCATGGACCCAAAATGTCGATGTTTTGTTCCCAGAGCTGCTTAGTCATCAGTTTTGCCTCATGGCACGGTGCTCCATCATGCTGGAAAAGGCATTGTTTGTCACCAGACTGTTCTTGGATGGTTGGGAGAAGTTACTCTCGGAGGATGTATTGGTGCCATTCTTTATTCATGGCTGTGTTCTTAGGCAGAATTGTGAGTGATTCCACTCCCTTGGCTGAGAAGCAGCCCCACACATGAATGGTCTCAGGATGCTTTACTGTTGGCATGACACAGGACTGATGGTAGCGCTCACCATTTCTTCTCCAGAAAATCTTTTTTCCGGATGCCCCAAACGATTGGAAAGAGGATTAATCAAAGAAAATGACTTTACCCCAGTCCTCAGCAGTCCAATCCCTGTACCTTTTGCAGAATATCAGTCTGTCCCTGATGTTCTTCTTGGAGAGAAGTGGCTTCTTTGCTGCCCTGCTTCATACCAGGCCATCCTCCTAAAGTCTTCACCTCACTGTGCGTGCAGATGCCTGCTGCAACCCCTGAGCCAGTTCTGCACTGATGGTGCCCCAATCCCGCAGCTAAATCAACTTTAGGAGACGGTCTTGGCACTTGATGGAGTTTCATGGATGCCCTGAGGCATTCTTCACGACATCTGAACCTCTCTCCTTGAAGTCCTCGATGATCCGATGAATGGTTGATTTAGGTGCAATCTTACTACTTGTGAAGCCATTTTTGTGCAAAGCAATGATGACTGCATGCGTTTCCTTGCAGGTTAACAGGGGAAGAATTAATTCAATGATTTCAAGCACCACCCTCTTTTTAAAGCATCCAGTCTGCTATTCTAACTCAATCAGCATGACAGAGTGATCTCCAGCCTTGTCCTTGTCACTCTCACCTGTGTTAACGAGAGAATCACTGAAATTATGTCAGCAGGTCCTTGTGTGTGGCAGGGCTGAAATGCAGCGCAAATTGGTTTTTTTGGAAGTTAATTTTCATGGCAAAGAGGGTCTTAATTGCAATTCATCTGATCACTCTTCATAATATTCTGCGGTTTATACAAATTGCCGTCATGAAAAGTAAGGGAGCAGACTACGTGAAAATCAATATTTATGTCACTCTCAAAACTTTTGGCCATGGCTGCAGAGTGGTCTGGAATTGACTTGAATGGACCCACCTCATCACGGTTCCACGTGCGGCGCCGAAGGGCGGTCTGGGGGTCCTGGCTATCGGGGGCTCGAGGGCGGAGTTCCACCGGACGTCCGTTGATCTCGGGGGCCTTGGTCTGCACTACGGGTGGAATCTTCCTAAAATTGAGGCTTTCATCGAAGACGCGGTCCACGAGCTGCGGAGTGAGTGGTGGGGGTTTGTGTGTGTGGGGAAGGGTAGGGCAGAAAGCGGGGGGGGGGGTAACGTCATCTCTGATGGCCCACTGTTCCCCACAGTGACATAAGCTATCCTAGTAGTGTCCCGGTTCTTCACCACCAGAGGAATGGCGTCCTTTGGATTAAGTTTATCCATTGTGTACTTCCTGTACATTTACACGTTTTAATCAAGAGCACAATCTACAATCTGTACTCCAGCCTTTCAGGAGGGTCTTCACAGCTGCACACTCAACTCAGAACATTCACACCTACTCTACGTCACACGACACGACACAGAACATGTTGTTATTGTTAGCTGCACACATCCGTGGTGCCTTCCAAAATCTGTCATGTAGTGTAAGGCTAATGGTCTGTCTGGGGATTACAGATCCAGCAACAGCTCAGGAGTTCTGTTAATCTGCAGTGCTAAGGCCTTTTAGAGGGTAGAGTTATGTCTACGTCTACTACAGCGGTGATGTCTGTCTGGCTTTCCACCTACAGCTCGAAATGCCAATGGGGTCTTATCCTCATGGACCATGAGGAAAAGCGGGATGGAGGCAGAAGCCATGGGTGACAGGTTTTGGCCGCACGTTCTCTCGCATCACGACACACGAGCGTCAGGCTGTTAGACATTAGCAGGCTGCAGATGGAAGGAGGCTGAAGGAAAGAAACGACGGCACTTTATGGCAAATGGAACGGCGCTTATAAAAATGTAGACAGCACAAGGTGACCTCAATAAAAAGATATCTATCATCGCTAAGTACCATCAAAGTGGAAGTTAAAATGCTTTCCTTTCCAGGTAACAGTATGTGTGGCTGTATACTTGGCTTACCCTTGAATTTGTACATTAGCACATATTTTCTACTCGGACCTGGAAGGAATTCCATTTATGCACCAACAAATGCCAAATGTATCAAACAAGATTCTCAGTGTCACCTGGGGATACTTTAATCAGACGGCTGGTAAATAGTCCTGTGATCCCAAGCAGGTAACTTGCCTCTTCTCAGTTATTTACTGAAAACAGAGAGGTGCCCTCTACAGGTTCTGATAATCTCTCTCAATTATCTGTTAGTCTTTTCCTTCTCAAAAGCGTTGCACAAACAAGCAGTGCAGTAGATATTTAGGACAAAAGTCAGCCTGCGTTTCAAAAAGTTAAAATGTCAGCCTTTAAATGAAATATACAAATTATTCATGTCTGGTTTAATACCCTCATGGAGTGAGCTGAACACAAAAGTGTTTTTTCTCTATATACATAATATGAAAATATTATGTATGGCCATGTCTACATTTTTATAAAGGGGAGGGGGGACAGACACTGAGCAAAGCAAAACACATGGTTTGTCATGCCGGGGTGGGGGGGGGGCAAGGGGAAATAAAGAAAAAGAAAGAACCTTGCACAAGCCTTCCTGAGATGGCCCTACCTCTTCCCGGGTGTCAATGGCGGAGCCTGGCGTGGTGGCCGCAGTGCTTACTGTGGTGCTGGGCGCCGTGCCCGAGGAGCTGACCGAGTCGATCTCGCCCGCCACGTCGTGGATCTCGCGCGCCAGGATGGCCAAGTCCTTGGCCAGGTCCTGGCTGATCCTGCGCACACAGGGAAATAACCTATTACACATCAGATGGGCTTCTGCAGCCATCAGCTCTCACACATTGGTAACGTTCACTATCAGGAAAAGGCTATTTCATTTACAGCCACTAGGTGGCTGACCAGGGGCCTGTACTACGAAGTGGGGTTACTGGCTTAAGGTAGTCTGGGCAAAATGTAAGTGAACGGATACAAAGTCCATTTAAACTGTGGTACCTTAAATCCGACAAGTTACCCCGATAAGCCAGTAACCCCCGCTTCATAGTACAGGCCCCTGCATCTCTCTCACAGTGTTGTTCTGAAACCACAGCTATTGATTACTGAGAATCCAGCATTTGGGTCCCTCTAGTGTACAACAGTGGTAATGACAATTACTTTGCATACATTTTGGAGATTTGGAAGCGATGACTTAACTTGAACCATATTAAATCTGTAGTGTCATATTAAATTAATCTTGGCAGCTTTCTCGCTCTTCACGAAAGACGCCAGGGCTGAATTTTAATTCCAACTCCAGCCATTAGTGATTTATAGGAAAAGCACAATACAATCAGGCATCCAATATGAAGTTAAGTGGCTCGTTCCCATGACGACCACACTCCAGTGACACATTTTAACAAGAGAACCAACAAACTGCTGTAGGTGTCAAACATGGCAAATATGCACTCCACATGTTATACAGCGAGGCCGACCGCTGAACCCTGGTGGGGCTGCAAAATGACTGATCAGCCACAGAAAGTCCACAGCGTGTGGGTCAGATGACAGAACTGTAAGGTGTCTCTTTGGGGGAGTCAGGACTCAATTTGGACATGATACACAGGACTGTTGATTCCTTCAGACATCGCGTGTCGCTAAGGATGTTACGTGGATTGATTAATTACGGAATCGCTGATTGTCATACAAATGGCAACACTGATATTTAAGTCATTTCCTACCACTATGCTTTAGGTTGAAATAAACTAGACCAAATAAATACTAGTCAGTCCCATCCTGCCCACGGTGCCCCAGATGTGAAGAGCGAGAGCAGATAAGTACCTAGCGATCTCCTCGCTGTGAGCCGTCCAGTCCCGGATGTAGTCCTCCTGCTCCCTCATTCGGTGCTTCATGGCCCCAGCCATGGGACTAGGCGTGGTGGGGACAGACCCCCCCAGACGGGCGGTGCGCAGGGCAGTGCCGGGCCGCAGGCGGGCGTGCTTGGGGGAGTTCCTACTGGAGCTGAACTCGTCTTCGGACGTGGAAGCGTATTCTGGGGGCAGGCGTCGCCACCGGCTGCTGGCTGCAGGCGAAGGGGGGGGGGGGCGGGGGCAAGGCCACAGGCGGAGTCAGTTTGGTTCAAAACCAGACTGGCTTCCCTCAGTACGGGCGACAGTCTACAAACATGGGAAACCCTATGAAGCAGAAGGCTGTGACACGTTAGAGCAGGGGTCTCCAACTCCGGTCCTGGAGAGCGTACCAGTAAGTACCAGGAACAGGTGTGGCCCATCAGAAGCCGAGTGGGACAGAAAACCTACTGGATAGTAGGTCTCCGGGACTGGAGTTGGAGACCCCTGCGTTCGAGTTAAACATCTGCCATCAGTGCGAGTGTGAAATTTCATTTTCCATCGCACAATAAAACAAAAATGGCTACCGTTCTTCCAAAAACGCCAAGACTGCTGAAGTGTCTGACACTTGTCAGTGTGGCTCCTAGAAGTGACAGATGCTGGTAGATTACTCTGGTAGCTCAGTTTCTCACACACCCTTCACCACTGTGCCCGGGTCTGCTGATGACCCTCTTCTATGGAAGATCAAGGAGCTTCTACGTATATTTAGTGTGGAGGTATGGAAACCAAAGTAAACAGTGAGAAACAAGGGCTAATCTAGGCCTGCGCCCTCCAACGAAAGCATGAGATCATCCTGGAGGCTTTCAGGATGAGCTTGTGTGAGTTTGCATTACAAAAACTGGATTTGCACACTTCAGGTGCGCACATATTTTGATTAAAAGAAGTTTGTGGAAAGTGCAGAACTCTACAGTACCGGCTTCTCGTCAGTCTTCGTGATTATACCTATCCCGTGCACCCGGCCGAGACAACTTGGGAAACGAAGGTTACCAAGGGATTTACGGATGCAGGACCCCTGGGCCTTTGTTAGTAGTTAGGTGAGTCTTGTGTTGCACAAGGCTGAGAAAATGTGTTAGGGATGTTTCTGTTAATTAAATGAGTAAACAGCTAACAGTAATTCTTACTTACCCTCTAACACAAGGCAGCAAAGGGGGCCTTTGAGCTTAAACACCTCAAAACTAATGATAAATTTCTATTTAATATATTGTGGAATTTCAAAGATGGTTTTCAATATTGGTACCTAAAGGACTTCAGTGGAATGGTTTAAAAGTGTAAATTGCATTCTGCTATTTGAACCCGCAAAAGCCACAGACTCTCAATATAGTGATTTTAAAAGCAGCCTTGTGTTAGATGCTACGTATGAACCATCACAACAGTGGCAGCTGAATGGATAGTGAGCAGAACCCAGGGCAACAAGTCAGAGAGAGGTCCGATGGGTTCTGTTCTGGACAACCGCACGTTATACCAGGTCGACACGCGAGTGATTTCGCCAAACGATCATAAATGCCATGCGTGATATCTTTGGAGAGATTTGCTTAATTAGTACAAAGAAAGTAATGACAATGGAACACAGGTGTGAGGTTTTGTTAAAACAGTTAAAAACACTAACAAATGGGTGATCAAACTGCCCCTTCATTCTAACCTGCTACCAACACACAACACCAGTGGGGACACCACTCTCAGTAAGAGGGATTTGGCGGATTTTCCTTCTCCGTTCAGAGCTGCAGAGCAGTGATGACATGGCGGTGTGCTACCACGTGTTTATGACATAATACAAAGAGCATCTCTATCAGCAAATATGATGAAAGCAGACTCAGGCCACCAGGTGGCGCCTCGTGATTAAATCCTGACAGTGCCCCACAAAAAAAGCACCAGTTGCTTACATCAGCAATTCAGGAGAAACTCCAGCTGAATAAACAAACTATAGTGCATTTTTTAAAAACAAAGTACTGGGGGCATCCTGCAAGTCAGTGTAATAATGGTGAGTGGGTACAGGAGATGTTCAGGGACGTGTCATGCTTTCAGGGGGTGGGGGGGGGAAGGGATCGCTGTGGGAACCGAGTCATCACTGCCAAGTCAGCTTGGGCGGAGTGGGGGGGTTGGGGGGCAAGGGGACGGACACATGCAGATCACCACATGTGGCCGGGGGGGCTTGCGCCCGGTACACTACCCAGGAGCTCCTCCAGAGACGGGACGTTTTCGGGGCCGGGCACGACGCTCTCTGTGTGGGACAAGCAGCCTGGTTTGTGAAAAAGCGTCACCGTGACTTGGGCACGGCTGGCACGCTGGGCTCGCTCGCACGGCTCACCACAGGACAAGACGCACATGATGATGATGACGGCGACGACACAAACAGATCACAACAAGGGCGGGTACTGTGACGCCCCTGACGACGGAGGAACCGAAAGCTGCTGCCATCTACCCAACATTTCCTTCTGAAACTAGAATTTCTATTCAATGCAGCACAATATAACTAACCTCAAATGAAATCATCTGAACACACTTCAGATAGACACTACAGGGCTGCAAGCAGCTCTAAACGACCTTGTTTCTATTCCCATTTAATCACTGAAATGTTATTTCAATAGCATTGCTAGCACAGAATTAGCATTGGTGCTAACTACCTGAAAATACCCGAATGGCAACTGAACCATCTGTCCTCCACCTTTAAAAACAATCCTGCAATTTAAGGCTCACTGACGTAATTTTAACTCAACGTTCAAATGTTACAGATATAACATCGTTTGTCACCCTACCGATTTATCTTTGTTGTAATTTTATGACAATGTTCAGGACTCATCGCATATGTATGCATGGAGCGTATTAATATGGACCCACCAGAGGGGGAGCTGTGGATAGAGTAGGCGGCCTTGGCCTTGGCGTCGGGCAGCTTGGACACGCTGTTGGCCCTCATGCGTGGCACCACTTTGCCGTCGGCGTTGGAGCCGACGCGGAGCCCCAGCCGCAGGACCGTTTCTGCAGAGATGGAGCCTCGCGATGAGGCCCCGGATCGGCCCACGGTGGCCTCTGAGTCGCTGCGGGCCGATAGAGAGCCCAACCGGTTCCGCCGAGGCTGCGCCAGCATGTCGATGCGCGAGGGAGCCTTCTTCCCCGACGGCGGCCGTGACGTGGAGCTGGTGGTGGACACCTCGGAGGCCACCGACACCCGGTCCGCGTCGGCCAGGTCCGTGTCGGAGGTGTCCCCCAGGCGGGCCCGTCTCAGCAGGGAGGCGCGGGTAGGCCGCGGCCGGGGCAGTGTGGCCGGTTTCCCCGCGACGGCCGCGCCGGTAGGCGGGGCCACTACTGTCTTGCTGCCCTTGCCGGCCTCCATCTTGGAATGTAGCAGCTCGTCGGTGGAGGTGAACTGGCCCCGGCCATGAGAGCGGCCCGAGTACGTCTCCTGGTCGGAGGAGAGGACATCCGAGATGGTGGAATGGGGCAGGGAGGAGGTCTGGTCGTCGTCGGTCAGGTCGACGGACGGCTGCCGGGGTCTGGAGCCGGCCTGCAGAGAGCGGTGGGCCTCGAGCCGGGATTCGGACGGGCGGCTCTTCCCCTTCCTGTCCAGGCGCTCGCGGGCTCCGGTCACGCTCTTGGTGGTGGAGCTGCCCCCACTGGCCGTCTTCTCCTTGTGCAGGCTGCTGAGCGTCCGCCGCTTCTGTGCGGCCTTCCGGTCACCGTCACCCGCCGCCTGGCTCACGGTGCTGGCTGTGTCCACGTCGGATTCGGGCGAGATGGAGCCGGCCCGCGGGTAGCTTGGCTGCTCGCCGGCCTCCAGCTTGTTCTCCTTGCGCAGCTTGGCCTCCAGGAAGGCCATGACGGCCTCCGTGTCTTTCAGCAGCGTGGCCGTGTCAATGCTGCCCACGGAGTCGCTGCGGTCCCGCACCAGCGGCAGGGCGCCCGGCTGCTTGTTGATTCGCGGGATGAGCTCGATGGGCACGTTGGCGCTGGGCTTCTCGATGGTGAAGCTGCCCTGCCTCACCAGCGGCTTGCCCGACTTCTCCGCCCCGTCTGCGACCTTGCCCTGCACGGCCCTGTCCTCGGTCCTCTTCCTGCGTCCCTCGTCTGTTCTCTTTTCTCCGCTCCCCGGGGCCCGAGCCGGGGGCTTGGAGAACCCCGCCCTGGTCTCCTGCTGCTGGGTCTGGCCTGGCTTGACGGTGGACGTCACCTCGGTCTCCATGGTAACCCGGCGGCTGGCTGCGGTCGCCCGGCCCTTGTGATCCGACTGGCTCTCCTTCTCCTGGGGCTCCGTGTCCTGCTTCTCCCCGATCTCAGAGCGCAGGCCCACCTTCCCTGGCTTGCCCCGCGAGCTATCCGAGGCCTTGTCCTCGGTGGGGAGCTGGGGGAGGGTTCTCCGCTTGCGCTCTCCGTGGCTGGAGGTGGACGTGGCGCTCTTGATGGAGACGCCGGACTCACTGGCATCAGCTTCTGGAAGACATGTTGATGAAATGCCAACTGCCCCGCAACCCAAGAAACATTTCAACTACAGCCTTGAATCAGGAAATAGGCCATGGTGATATACCAGTCACCCAAAAGGAGAGCTGGTCTTGCCTGCGATGTACTACCACTAACACACCCACAATGCTTATGTTCCAGAATTTTCCATGGCCTTCTTATTCTGTCATTGAGGAATTACCCCCCTGTTCTGCTGTTGGCGCGCTCCTGCATAATTACACAGATGTCCACCCCCACGGTTTACCTTTCTCCTGGTGGACAAAGGCTGGCGAATCAGCTCCGGAGCCCTCTGGGTCCGTCCGCGTGTGATTGGCGGCGAGCGTGGCCCACTGAGACACCCAGCGTGGGCTGCCCACGGCAACCGGGCCTTCTGGAAAGATCTGCGAAAGAGGAGCGGCAATGGGCAGAGGCCCTGGTCATTATCATGACCTCATTAAGATCCAAAAGGAAACAAGAGGGTTACACTAAGGCCCCGGGCAAGAGGAGGGGGCGGCACTACAAGGACAATCCCTCTGACATCAATCAGCTTGCAAATGGTGTAAGATTTAACATGGAAAGCTTGAAAAAGCATTTGCTTATTCATGTTTTACTATTTATCATTCATTAATTAATTACAATTTGGAACAATTCAGAATCACTCTAAATAACAAAGGCAACAACTATCACAGTAGTTTTATTTACAATGTTTAAACTTAGAAGTCCAAATATAGAATTTAAATTAAAGAAAATTAAATATGTATCCTGCTTTTCAGTGATAAAGCAGCCAGTCTCAACATTATAATCATTAATTATACAGTAAAGTTTAGCTAAGACATGTTCCGAACTGCTCTGTAGGGGAGAGCTGATAGTGGGAGAAGAATGGATGCATTATTGATGTAAAACAAAAGGTGCTCAGTGATCATTTCCCCGTGTCAGCTAGGGTACATCCTGCCCTGGTGTAGGTGGTAGCAGCCGGCAAAGAAGGCTGCACTGTTACTGATCTTCCAGTGAAGTAGGTCAGCCGCAAAATTTCTCACTCTCCGGATAACACTGATATCTGGAGTGCTCGTGAAAAAGAGAGCGAGAGAAATCGGGAGGAGGAGGTAAAGAGAAAGGGAACGAGTGATCCAGCAGTGGCTTTGACAGAAGATGAGGTCGACATTTCTATACATTCTTTTTCCTGACCATCACCTGAAGGTCCAACACCTTAACAACATGAATGGTTGGATTTTAAAATCAGAGCCCACAAAACACATTTTCCTCTTGAGATGTTAGTCATCCTCCAGCCTCCAGGTGGCACTGTTTCTTAAAAGCCACTTGCGTCTGAAGTGACCCCCTTTTCTTAGATCAATATACCAGGCTAGAACAAGTTATGCATGTTTTGTGGTTTAAATTTGAACTGCATCATTTCCTGATTTTTTTTCGGTTAAGAAGAACAATCATTTCCTCTCTGTAAAAGGCACAGAGCTAAATTCAACTCAAGCTGGACACTCACATGGAAAAACAGTAGGTCTTGTGTGTTTGGTCGATTCAGATTCTACCTGTCATAGCAATGTTAGAATGCTGTTCGTCTAAGGTCCACCAAAAGAAGATCAGTTATTAGTACTGTTACCTCTGACGGCAAACAGTCAGACTTCTTCATCTCCCCCTGGACCGAGGTCTTCCAGTCTTTCAGCGTGTCATGGTGCTCAGGTCGGACTCTGGCCGGATCAGTGCTCTGCTCCACCCCAAAGACCTGTGCAGAATGATTGTAGAAAAAGCCGTTAATCGTAACTGTTAAGGCTGACTTATACTGTGACTTATACAGCAACTACACCGCCAAAACACTAGATGATACATAGATGTCGCAGTTATTGTCTTCCCGCCCTGCGATGTATTCAATTGTTAAATCACACAAATGAAACGGAAAAGAAACAAACATGTAAACAGAATCCATTTATCGGCTCCTGGTTGTATTTCTGCTGCTCCAAACTTCCCGCAGACAAATTAGGAACAATGTCTAGCCGCTCAAAAGTCACTTTCTATGTACTTTCCCTTCTAAAGTTAGTGTCTATACTACTTTTAACTTTTTTTTAGCCTTGTAAAGTAAGTTTATTCATAATGGAGGTAAGTGAAATTGGCGCCGTCATCCTGAGTGTTCTGTAGACCTGTTGCTATGATGCCCACGGTGGGTTATTTAATGCTAGAAATAAATAACGCTTCAGTCTCAATGAGCGATAATAAGCACAACTGGGATGTACGCTTACTTTGCGGCCATAAAAAATTAATGGTACCAAGAGGACCCATCATGTTCTTGTAGTCTGCATCACCGTGACATGTAGCTACACTTCTGGGGAGCTGGACGTCAGCCTACAGCGTAAGGTTTGCACCAAAGCCCAAGAAACTGTCGATTCGACGCAAAAGTATAAATCACCAGGCAACAAAGATGTTTACTTCACGCAACCAGTTCTTACTTAAATAATAAAGTTCACTCGAGATAAAATAACGAACACTGGGCTACCATCAAACTTCCGTTAGCAAGACTGGCTGGTGATCATTAGAAAGCTTTGCTAATCCCTGTGACCAGCTGGCAGGAAACTGGCCAAATTGATTTCAATTAGGCCTATGGAAGCAGGACACAGGAAGCAATATCCTCCATTTTCATTTGTAATACAAAACCTTATTTGTGGTGGAAACCTTGCAAGTGATTCAATTTCGCCGTTAAACACCATAAGTACGCATCTTTTCCACCATGACAGAGATGTAGGGCTTTGCATAAAAAAGGGAATCAACTCATCACCAGATCTTCCCAGTTTGCAAGAGAACTTCCAGCCTTTAAGAGCTTAAAGCTTCAAAATATGGTTTTGGAAGAAGGACCCAAAATCACACAAGCTGAAGACCATCTTCACGGACGGTCAGATCCGTTCCAGGACTTGTATAACACTTGTAAAAAGCCAGTGAGGAAAAACAAACGTGTAAATAACACCAAATATCTCACTACTCACAAAGAAACTTTCAAATGCACGAAAAGACTTGTCTGTGTGTGAGACGACACGCTTCCTCGATGTTCTTTCAGCACCAGGAGTAATGTGTAATGGCTTTCCTCCGCAGAGACCGAGGCGGGGTGAGGGCAGGTACCGGGAACACTCATTTAGCTCATCTGTTCCATATTCCGATCAACACCAAGCCTTGCTTACCCTAGTCCCCAGTAAACACACCCAGCTGTAACCCTTTTGAGTGTTTTCCCCCACACTAATACCAAAGGGGTTCTCCTTTGATTCTCTGCACCGCCCATCATTTCTCCCATCCCCAAAACACACTCCTTACTCCTCCCCCCATTCCCAGGTCACATGGTTCAGTTCGCCGTCCTGCCTGGGGCCACGCCTCCACAGACCCATTAGCTCGGCACTCCTGAGCCAGGCGGCAGAGAAGGGGCCTCGCTTTGGAAACCTTGGGCAAAACACTCAATTTAGACAAACGCTGTTCAGCATCAAAGGCGGCCCTTCAACCGCAGATACGCAGTTTCGGTGTGGTCCCAGTGGGGGGTGGTGGGGGGACTAGAAAACACCACATTTTTTTGCTAGATGTAGAACTATTAAAAAAAATTACAAAAAAACAATAAGAAAACTAATATGACTTTTAGCAATTCTCAGTTTCTGCCTGGAGAATTCCCTGTTTGTTGAGTTAATTCCATTTAGCAGTGTGTGGTACAGTGAGGGACTCATTAGCAACACTGCAGGCCTTAATTAAATCTCAAAAATGCACACATAAATACAATCATCACCCTTTTGTGTTTTAGCACCACCCAGACATGGTTAATTTTGAGCTGAAGGTCATTTGAATTCCAAGGGGTCTATGCGGAGCAGGGGAAGGGAATACTGACAGGGTACGCCGAGGCAGAAAAGTAATTAGACACATCATGGTTCCTCAAGACCAGCATGCTTTGCAAATGCTTCAGGACACTTCTGGAGTGCTGCCAGCGAAGCCGCACTGTATAACAGTACCTCTTCACATTCAGGCTGATCTTACTCAAACAGAAACCAAAAGGTCTACAGGAGCTGTCAAAAACTGGTACATCTACGATGTTATCTGGACCAAAAAGATTCCGACAAGGTATTTACAGCCTTACGGACTGGGTGAACGGTTTCAGTAATTCTGCAGAAATTAAAAAAAGCCCATGGAGAAATGAATGCAAACCAAAGCATTAAGCTGTACAGACACACAATAAAACTTATCTTTCCTGTTCCACTGGCACTGCACTTTTTGCTTAGCAGTGTAGAGACAAGGAGACCAAGTCAGAAGCAGGGGCAGAGTTTGAGATCTTCTACAACCCTCTGGTTACAGAACAGCCTTGGCCACTCAGAGCTCCACAGAGGTGCAGCTGCTAAGGTGCTATACACATGCTGATCTCTGGGGGAATCTTCTGGAGAAGCTAATGGTTTGTAAAGACACTTGATGGCAGGAGGTGCCGCTCCTCCTTACCTTGTCGATCATGCGCCTCGCCTCCTCCTCCTCCGGGTTTCGGTTGTCCAGCTCGATGGTATACGTGCCCTTGTCGCTCTGGTCGTCGTCATGGTCCTTCTCCCCAGAGCGGGGGGTCCTGTGGGAGTCGTCGGCGGGGCTGGTCTGCTGGCTCACGCTGGCTGAGCCCCGGGTCACGCCGGGGTCCTCTGACCTCTGCTTGAGGAGCACACGGGTGGCCAAGGGGCCGGTCACTGGTAACGAGGAGGGCGGGCCCTTGCTGCCGTCTGCCGATGACGAGGAGGCGGATATAGCAGCCTTGGGGCGGGAGGGAGGAGTGGGGCATGGAAGGTCCCCCGCCACACCCCCAATGAGAGGTGCCGTTTGTGAGAACGAGTACGAGCGACGCTTGCGCGGGTTTTCCTCGTCGAAGAACTCGATCATGAAGGTGGTGCGGCTGGCGGCAGCGAGGCCCTCGGTACTCTTGCCCTCGGACCCCGCCTGTGCCCGCGCCGCCTGGGCACCCCGCAACCGCTCCTCCAGTGCCAGCCTCCGGCTGCCGAATCGGAGCCCCGCACCATTCTCCGAGTCGCTCTGTGTGCCGTCCTCGTGCTTGCTGCCTGTGCAGACGGGGAGGGGGGCGATCAGTCCGGGGGGGTCACTGCACATCGGCACGGCGCCTGCCAGAGAGAGCCGCGAAACACGCTCACGTGACCATCACCCTTTTACCGCGGCGGAATCCCTTATGCACGCGGGTCTGAACTGCAAAGTGTGCTTAAAGCCCTTACAAGGAAGTGGGCGGGTGGAGTGAGATGGGGGTGGATGGTATATGGTGAGGGGGGGGATTGCTGGGGGAGCAATGCAATCAGGAAATAACATGCAGCCTGGTCTGACAGTCCCAGGCCACAGAGGCAGAAATCACAACAGGGCACTGGACAGTAGGCTTTCATGGGCCAGCTGCAAACAAAGGCATCCTTTTGGTAACTCACAGCCCTGCCTTTGAATAACAGTGCAGGGTCCCGCAGGGCTCCTTTGAGTCAGACTGCATCTCCCTCATTATCCCTCCACATACACGGTAACCTTCACGGCAGCAGCGTCGAGTCTCCCCTACATCCGACGCCGCAACGACACAGAATCCCCCGAGGGAGCAGACATAGTCAGTTTGGTTTCCGCATGCTCCCGTTCGGCCGCTCGCCGCCCCTGCCACCTCCCCCACGGTGACAACCGCTCCGCACTCCTCAGGCGAGACCTCAGATGCACCGTGAAAATAAAATCTCCACCGTGCACAGCCCATGCTTCACGTTCACCAAGCCTAGGCGACAATCAAAACTGCAGAGGGACACCTATAGGGAGCCACACCTCAAAAACGGCACCGCAGTGAGAAAGGCTGCTCTATCCCTGAACCACCTCTGGAAGTAAGTTTCCTCCTCAAGACTGCAAGCCTCTGCAAGCCACAGCCAAAGCTGCCCGGTCAAGCGTGCTACCCCGACGCACAAAAAAAATAACTGCCGTGCCACCCGCGCATCACCCAGCAGAGCAGCAGGCGCGCACCCCCACGCATCGGTATCCCTGCGCTCCTGCATCCTGTCTGACGGCCACCAGATGCCGGAGGATGGGAAAGCGTGCTTCGCCGGCTGCCTACCGGTGCGGCGCATCGCGGGGTCTCAGTGCCGGCGAGGGAGGCAGCTGAGGAGAGACATGGTAGCTGGTTTGAGGGATCAAGAAATGCTCCCCATCATCGACGGAAAAGGGCAAAAAAAAATAAAAAATTAAAAATGGCCAGGAGGCAAGAGCACAGAGTCGGAGGACAGTACAGAGGCGCTGAACAAACACATCGAAGGGGAGGGGGGAATGGATGGAGGAAGGAGAGAGAGGAAGGAGAGGGAGGGAGGGAGGCGTGGGGCTCACTGTGCCAACTATCCTCAGCTCTGTCACGGGCATTGCATCGGAAGCGGGGAAATTCAGAAGAGAGGGGCGGTAATCCGCTGAATTTCAAATGAAGCAGAACGTTTAAGACTCAGCACCCGAGAGGAGCTTTGCAGTGACACACAGACCGACAGACAGCAGGCTTTTCCTGCACTGATGTCGGCCGTCAAATGTATAATACCCTAAAATGCCAGCCAGCTCTTTTTCAAACAATAGTTGCAAGAGATTAAATTTCCCTTAATGCCACAGACTAATTTCACCACAAATGCTGCAGAAATACTGAAGAAAATCAGGAAAGTTTTTAATTTTTTAGAACAAAATTCATTGCATTCATTACCACTCTTAGCAGATTTTACCGACAAAATACAGAAATGAGAAGGAAATCCCAACTGCACTACAGGAATGATAAACCTGCAGTGCAATGCAAAGAAGCCATACATGCAATCAGACACACAGGAGAAAATACACATTTATGCAGCTGTGTGGCTGAAGAGAATTTCTAATTCATTATCCTTGGTGATTTACCTTCAAGGGCTATAACATGAAAAGCCCAGCCCCCTCCCCACCCCTCCCCATCCCTCCCCAGGATGAAAGTCAGCTCAGGGCATCAATGCAGAGTACAGCATGTCCTTTGTTTGCCTCCAGATAAAGTGGACAAAAGAGGGGGGGTGGTCGGGAAGAAAATAAGGCTTTTTGGAAATAAAACGAAGCTCAAACAATCAACAAACAGCCACTATAAGACAGATGAAAAGGGAGGATGGGCAGGAGAGGTAAGGCTGCATGCATGCCCCCCCCCTTCCCATCTTGCAAGAATCTCTGCAACAACAAATGGGGAAAGACAGCCCCCCCTCCCCCCCAATGCGGGTCAGCAGAGCAGCTATCGGCAGTGGCAGCCAAGACCCACAACCAAATACTACAAGGAGGAGAATGAAAACGGTTCCGGTTCTAAGCTCTGCACTGTAGCTCTCCCGCAAGGACACTTTCCTAGGTAAGCGTCAGCTATAAATGCTCCATCCACACTGGATCTCTCTCACCACTCCGTTCTCCCATTTAGCAATTTGCAGCTTACTACTAAAGTACTCAGTACCAATTAACATGTGACTTTTGGAGCCCCAAAATGCACCCCCCATTACGGGATCTCCTGTTACAATTACTCATAATACACTTTCATACAAATCCACTCTGATTCATGATAGCCACAATTCTCAGCCACCCTCTTTCGATGTCTAATTAAAAACAGCCATGTTCCATCCATCAGTTTTCAATAGCCGTGTGTCCTACAGTTATTCTTTCATATGTCACTTTGTTGCAACAATAAAAATGCTAACTGGCAATGGATCTACAGAATTTAAGGTTCTTATTGGCGAGGGTTTTGCCAATAGCTGAGCCTGCCTGTCGAATGTCTCGCACTGAATTATGGGATGCGGGCTGAGCCCCCTCACCTTTCAGTCGCTTCAGGTGCATGGGCACGTCGCTCTTGATGCTCTTGCTGTCCTCTTCGGTGGACTCCCTGCGGGCCAATGGCGGGTCATTCTGGGCCAGCCAGTCGGCCACCTTGGTCTCCGAGGCCATCATGGCGGCCTGCAGGGTGCTCAGCTCCCGGCTGCCCTGCTGGGGGGAGCGTCTGGTCCGCACCCGCTGGTCCGGCGCAAACTTGGACACGTGATCGCGGATGGTCACCTTGCCAGGAGAGGTGTCGTCGAACTCGATGGTGAAGGAGGCGTGGCCCTGAGCGCCGGCCGACGTCCCTGTGGCGGGGGTGCCGCCCGCTTCCTGCGTGTCCTTCGTGGGCACCTCTTGGACCGCGCTCTCTGGCGCCGCCCGGAGCTCTTTGGTGGGAATCTCGAAATAGCTCGGTTCCGGGCCCAGCAGACTGACACCCTCCTCCTTAACCTTCTCACTCTTCCTGGCCTCCTTGCCGTCTGTGGGTTCACAGGAGAGAAAGTACGAAGGACAGGTATCAGGGTCTGAAGCGCAGATACTAGGGTTCTATGGTTCACCGGCAACACGGGCTCCCATGTGACCTGATCGCTTTCTCCCAGCTCCCCATCTGAATCAACTCAGCACGAGTGAAAGGTCGGATATAAGAGAGATGAAGTCATAAGCGAACCAAAGGCCCCCTTGTTCATTCCTCATCAATTACCCAGCATCACTCAGTCAGCCAGGAAGCGAAGAACCACCCTGAGATACAGACAAATCACTACTCACAAAACTGCTCTATGTTTCATCTAACAACAGAAATTCACACTGGCCACCCAGAACAATTCAGCCTCCCCATCTAAGCTGCATGTGGCTTTTAGAAAATCCACAGATAACCACAGCAATTTAGCTCGAAATGTTCCTTTACCCAAGCTGACCTAGAGCTCCATTCACGGCGTGATAGACCATATCTAACAGTGAATCATGGCTTCCTAGTTCTACTCAGTTATTTTCACTACAGTGAGTCACTGAAACCAAAATAAGAGACTGTGAGCTCGGCACATAAGTGTGCGCAAAAAATAAGCAACTTCACAAAATCACTTGTGGGACACATACACATAGACAGGGAAATAGGCATCATTTCCCAGTAAAATCAGAAAAAACACCCTGTCAAACATCACTCATAGTACAAATAAAAATTCTTACCATTTTTACGCCAACCAACACACAGTCATGTGTGTGACTGATTTCCTGTTACTCCCATATGGCTGCACATGCTACGAGATCATGCCAAACAGGGTTTATGGAACTTCCTGTTTTTAGAAAATGAACTTCCTGAATGTCACTGAGATTTCAGCAGAAAGTCGGAAAATCGCATGACTATTGGACCACATGAGTGTGATTCCTGGACAGGGACTTTTTAGTCAGGAAAGAAAAGATAAAAAAGAAATGCTATTCATTCAGGAAAAAATATATATGCCAGCAGAGAGCAAAAACGAAATTTTTAAAAACTAGTTTCAGAAAAACATGCAAAAACAGTTTCTTGGCTGGCATTAAGGAGAAGAACAAGACCTCCTCCCAGGTGTATCTTACAACCAACCTGGTTCTGGCTCCACACTGATCATGAGGCTCAGGACCATCCTGGGACCACACAGTGGTACCGAATGAGCCTGTACGATAACACTTGACCTTGAGACTGTAATAAACAGATGGAGAACCAAACTATCCAAATACAGCACTGTGTGACCTTCTTACCTTTGGTCGGAACAGTAAAAATCAATACATACACGCCTGAAAATGAGCCGGTTCTGAAATGGAAAGGCTACTCACTACGAGGAGGGCATCCAGTAAGTTATCTCACAGGCCAATGGAAGCTGGAAGCTGGAGCACCGGAGAACTCGAAAGGCCTCCCACAGAAGCGGTACGCTGTGGGAAGGAGCTGCGGATCGCCACTACTACAGGACGACACGCGACACGCAGGGAAGGGGGCGGAGCTACCGTCTGCTCCTCCTCCTCCAGACTGGAGGAAAAGGGGCCCCCTTTCACAGGCCTATAAATAGAGCCGCTGTGATGTGCGGTGGGGGCAGCCTCTGTGAGCACACCTCTCCTTTTCACCATCACTGCCGTGGCAGTCCCGCGCCTGGGAACCAAAAAAGGGGGATTCGCAGACAAAGGCACCACAGCCCAGCAGACAAACTCAAAGTGCCCCCAGATGATAATTCCTCACCACGATAGGAAGGGGGTTGAAGGGAATTCTGTCAGACAGGGATAGTTCTAGTAGAGCACTTGTACAGATACAAAGCTTAAAGAGAAAAGGTGCTCTTTACCAAAGATACATGCTAATAATAATATTCCAATGTGAATAAGCCAGTGCCCTGTTCTGCCGGGCCGCTAACCTCTGATAAAATGGAGGTCTGGATTCACTATGCTTTGACTGACAATGCAATGCATGCTTTTAGTTATAGTGACATGAGTTTACAAAATGCTGTAAAGTTTTGCAAATAAAATTGTAATTAAAATTTTTTATTGAGTTACTATTCATTATATTCTTGGAATCGTATGGAAGTTTGAAATTTTGGTACAACGCTAGCTGCGACTCAGTAGGTCCCCAGATTCTCTTTGTAAAAGTACCTCTCATTGTAAAGAAGATTGGAGACCATTAGGAGAAAAACCCCTGAAGGTAAACCAGCCCTTTCAGGAGGTCAACAGACCCGTCAAAGCAATCTCTACAGTGACAGACAAGCCAGAAAAGGATGAGGAAATCGAACGAACAGGAAGCTGGTCATGGGTGAGAAGGATGAATTGAGTCACACATTGTTCTTGAGGAGACTGAGCGACCGCAGGGAGTGGCTGAGTTGACCACCAGCACACCCACACATATGCAAACCGATGCCTCAGGGAAAGAATCTCAATAACTTTCTCCTCAACGTTTAGGTTCTAATCTACAAAGCCAATAAGATCAATGACAGCAGGTTCCAAATGCTGGAAGGACGATGCAGTCCAGCATCTCCCTTTCACTTCCACACCAAATTATGTCCATGGGCTGCTAAAGCTGACACTCATCCCACTACTGGGTCTCATCGGTCCCCCCTGCTGGGCTAATCTTCAGGGCCCAGAGTTACAATAACTGCTAATCCCATTATCCATGCACAGCACAGGTTAAAGAAATCATCGCCTGACCGCCATGATACACCAACCGATCACAGTGGGGCCAAAACCCATATAATATCATTGCTTATTAACATCCCGACTCAGGAGAGCCAATTAACAGCCCATTATCCTACGTCCAATTAACACGCCAATTACCAATCCTGTAAAAATGTCATTAGATGAGTTCAGGCCATACCGTCTTATAAAACAGCATTAAGACAACATCCTTCATGTTTACTTTGATGTCCTGCATATCAGCACAGCGGAAAAAAAGACAGCAGAGATATTCAGCTACTGGCAGTGGAGAAGCAGGGCTACCAAGCTGCAGCCAGTGATGCAGCATCCAGGATGCTAAGAGAAGCAGTGACTCCCTCCCAAGGCCTGGGACACTCGGCCTCACCTGACACACCGCTCTCCTGCTTCTTGGACTCCTGTTTGAAGGAGTTCTCGTCGTCTGCGTCCCCGTCGCCCCACCAAGACGGCTGTCCGTACAGAGGGGTCCCCCTGTGCAACGCCGCTATGTCTCCTAGGACATAAACAGAGATTTTAATTTGCTGGGAAATTTCATTATAGCCAATTACCGTATGTCCCTGCAGAAAGCACGGCCACAGTGCTGCAGTGCTGCAGTGCTCCTTGCAATTTTTTTTCTTAATTTTTGTTATTTATTAAATGCTCCCCAAGTTTTGTTTAAAGGGTAGTAGCTAAGAAAGCTATGAACGCTGGGTTTTCATTCCAGTCGAACCCCATAGCTGAGACGGCTGCACTACCCACTGACCTGAACGACCTTCAAAGACTGAGAAGTGTGTTGCTCGTTATTAAAGCATGGCCTGTCTGATGGGTGCGAGGCCGGACCCCCGCTATCCCCCCCCCAGTGAACTGATGCATTGCGGGCACTTTTAAAGCCCCCCCTCCCCCCCCACTCCGCTTACAATGTGCCAAATCCGTGAGAGTAATTCGGCACATGTGTAGCTCTGCAAATTCCTGCAGCCAATTCTCACAGTGCTGCGATACACACGCAGATTAATTTACCCACACTCTGAGTGTGCTGCTTGTTCAGCAAAAGACCAGCCATGTTCATCCAACAAAGCACACCACAGCAGAAATGCAAAAAAAAAAAAAAGGAAAGAAATATGCCTCATTTCACAGTGGCACTACTCAAGAGAGAAATACATTAACAGCCCCCCCCCACCCCAAATATGAGCATCTGTTTTTCTTTCCAGAAGGTTCTGAGCACTGGTCTCAGTGACAGGCACAGAGCTGTTGCCTGAAGCCAGCAATTAACTGGATCAAGTATGGAGGTAGCTGTTTAGCAAAGACGGTAAACTGACGTTAAAGGTTCATCAACCCCTATCGGTAAGAAAGCAAGACTACACTGGATCTAAAGTATATAGATTAGCATGTGGTGCTAAAGTTGCTACTAGGGAAAGCAGAGCACTATTATAGCGGGGTTCCTCTCCAGCAATCTGGGCCCTCCTACAGAATCCACTACAAATGCCAGACCCAGGTCAACACGCCAGGATTCAGTGATGACGTGTCACCTGCTAGAGGCTCTAGTGCTAACGCTAACAGTACCTGCAGTCGCCATCGGGCCTATCCTCCATCATTTCTTTGACTTTAAAGCACCGCCTTCTCTTCCAGCCCTGGTGTCCCGCCGGCCGCCTCAAGCCCCCAGACGTGCAGGTAGAGATGAAGCTGCAGCATTTGGCATCTTCCTGCCCAGCTCTGCACCTTGGTCCCAGCCCAGCAGAAAGATTCACTACACCAAGGTCACCCCTTGTCCCCCTACTGTTTAAAACACCATGCGGCCGTGCCGCCCGCCGTTTCCCATGTCACGTGTCACTCCGGCGGTGGGGGGGGAAACACTGAACCGCTCCAATGACAAGAGACGGCGGCTTGCCTTCCGGCGCCGCGAGAGAGCCAAATAAGGACAAGGCCACGAAGACGGTGATATTAAACGTTTCTGACGAGCGAATATTCCACACGTGCTGACAACGTTGCCCATTTCCTGTCGGGGTGCTAGGAAGGAATCAGACGACACGACCCGTGGGACTGTGAAGCTGGGGAGGCCGATATAACGCTCTTCCAACAGGTTTACAACCGGCTTTGTAAACATCACTGCTAGCAGGTCCGTTTACTGCAGAGGGACACAGCAGGACGCAGCCGGGGACAGAATCCGCTCATCACAGATGCCGGGCCCCTCATGTCACACGCTGCTCCTGGGGGTCAGCCGGTCAGCTGCTTTTCACTCCAACCCCCCACTCTTTTAAAATTGCCCCTTAAATCCCTCCAGAAACCCAGCGTATTTCTACAGCTAAAGCATCCTTGTTTGTTATACCAAAAACAATAAATAGCCTCATTGCCTGAGATTTGGAATCATAGTCATTTTATAGCGGGTTAATTACGTCGATTTTGCGTCGGTTTTTGACCATTTTTTCATGAGGACTGATGCATGGCGGCAGTAGCTGGGACGAGGTCGGCTGGTTGTGCTTCTCACCTGCTAACTTGTCCTCCGCCTTGGCTGGGTCAGGTGGCCTGGCGCCCCCATCGCCGCCCCCCACTGCGGCTTTGCTCCCCGAAGGCTTGGCGTCCGGGGACTTCAAGGCTTTGGTGGGCTGCTCCGCCGTGGACGGCTTCTTGGTCAGCTGGAGCTGGCTGGTGAATTTCTCGTGCTGGGGGGCGGGAATAAGCATCTAAGGAATCTCCAGTCAGCAGCGACGTCACCTACAGTGCCTTAGCTAGAGGTTACCCTGAACACCCTGACTGCCTTCAAGGTGGCTGAGCCAGTGGACTGCCATCACAGTAATGCAGTTTAGAGAAAACCTCCACGACAGACAAAAAACTCGGGCGGGGTTAAATTGCATCATTGAATTTCAATTCACACGTAAATCACACGCACTGCTGAAGACAGTCAAACCATAAAAGTCTTATTTTGTTCATGTTTCTCTTCATTTCCCTTAGACATGTCGATGTCCCTCTTGTATTTCTCAGAAGTCACCGCTACAGCTATTTTTTTTTTTTTGTCTTTAACCGAATTTAAATGCCTGTATAAGCATCCGGGCCGAGATCCTTAGAAGAGCAGCAGCGTCCTACCTTCAGTGCCTCCTCCGGGACGTGCAGCTCCCCGCGGACGACGGTAAACAGGTTGGTATGTGAGACTGGTTAAGGGGAACAAAAGTGCGGCTCTGTGCCGGGCTCTTCTTTCACTGACACACCCACAGTGAAGACCAGGCCACTTCCTCTCACCGCAGCATCTCACTCTGTGGGCCACTTCCTGGTGGTCCGAGGTGCTCGGTCAGGAAGAGGACCCAAAAGGTTACGGTCAATATCCGCTCTTACAGCTGAGAATTCGGGGTGAGGCAAACCCTAAAGGGCTCGGGTTCCTGCCGTTCTAACATTGAGTAGCTGCTTAAATCAAATCCAGATACTTTAAGTTAAAACCTTAATCTTCTATGGATCAAAGGCCTGGCTAAATTATTCAATGTAAATGTAATGAACATAAGGGGTGACCTCTGACTATTCAGCTCTCTCATTTCCCCACAACATTCAACAATTTATTCCTGTGCTTGAAGCACAGAGCAGGCATGTGGCTGGGTTTAGGTGAGCCTTTGCATCTCCATGGCGACCAGCCCAGATACCCCCCCATCAAAGGAAAAATAAAACCTGGCTAGGACTGGTCTGCATAACTAGTGAAGGTTTATCAGAGGGTCAGTAGGACAGATTCAGGTGGGGTTGTTGGAGGAGAGATGTGGAGATGTGGAGAATGCCTCCACAACTTGATATTTTGTTGTCCTGCGTTTATTTTTGGGGTAAATCATCCTCATTTTTTAAAAGAAAAATCTCCAGTTGTTTTGCACGTGATTTATGTTTTCTCCTGAATCACGTGACACACCTCCACCCTACACTGCCAGACAGAGTTTACAAATCTGACACTGAAAAGGATATCATATCCAAACCTCAACTTGTCATCAATCTTCAGAGTGATGTACATCTGCTCCTGGATCCTGACATCGTTCACGAACGTCTGTAATGACAAAAAAGCCTTTATATCTGCCCTGTAACAAGCAGTTACAGGCCAACAGCTGGACGAGTGAATCTGGCATGAACTTTACTGAAGACCCAAGATCGCCTGACGGCTGCTGCAGTAGCGGCTGACTTTTCACCTGAATTGTTTTGCCTCCCTCAGCCTATTCTGACAGCACCCAACCGCACGTGAATCCTGGCCTTGTGGTATTCGTGCCCAGCACGGTGAAAGCATCTCTACATGTCCGGCTAGCTGGGACAGCTAATCCTTCTACCATGTTGTGCCGCACAGCCAAACACACCGTGTGTGTGCATACAGCCCAGAGCACCCAGCCTGGTGAAAACGAACGGTGAAGCCCAGACCTCCCGAACAGTCGCCTTTGTTTAACTTCGGTGTTTTCCGATTCTCTGACCATGGCTTTGTTTGCTCTTCTACACAAAATTGTAATTAGCTCTGACTTTTTGGCGCAAAGATTTTTTTAGTAGACATTGCATTAAAATAGAGTTACTCAGATGCTTATTCTGGGTGAAAGGATTGTCTGAAACCAATAGCCATATTTAGGCGGCTCGAGCCACGGACTTTTAAATAAATTCAGGTCCGTATTTTTGTATCTACGCCCACTGAGACGTAACGTGCGGGTCTGAGTCTGCGTGACTAAGCGCAGGGGCTCAGTGGCGTTTACCGCACCATGGCTACGCCGCCCTGCTTCCAAGCGGCAGGGTAACCGTACAGGAAGCTCCTGTGTGGAAGCCGCCGTGCGAGAGCTGCAAATGGAAACGTGAGTCAGCGGGAAGTGGCGGCGAGCTGCACTTCCTGTGTGCGGGGGAGGGGGCTCCATGGCTATTAGGGGGCTTCGAGTTTTTTTTTTTTTTTTTTAATAAACATATGAGTCAGGCTTCACAGTCCTGACAGGCAGCGAGAAAGGCATCTCAGCGATGCTGCGTCATCCGTAACTCCAAACGACACCTGCAGGATATGGCTACAGTATTCTTCCCTTTAATGAGTCCAGCTGCGGAAACAATTATGATACGGATGGTGTTCATATTACGGCTCATCCTTAGATCATACTCTGTACTTCCTTGGCAATGTCAGGGAAATCACGCTGTGCCGTGAATGCTATAAGTTCTAACCCAAATTTTTAAATTTTAAATCACATAACTCTAGTTATGTGTGGGCTTCGCGGCTTCCGGACGGTTCTCTCGCGAGCTGCTTGCATGCCAGCACTCACCCCGTTCAGGCTGCCCAGATCCTTCACCTTGTGTTCGTCGCTGGCCGCCTCGTAGTTGATGACGGCGTGCTGCTTGTCGACGCTCCGCGACTAAACACAGAGAAAGCCGGCAGTGAGGATCTTCAGCGAGTACCGCAGGTTAATGAATAAACCTATGACTGGGGACACTGCCAGTTGTGGAACTGGGAGTACTGGAATAATTTAATTCTGAAATCTCCAAAATCCCCAAATCGTGGATTATTATAGTGTGTTGTGTTGTGCTTAGCAGAGCCCACCAAACACGCCTGACAGCACACGCTTCCGAGGAAACCGGCATAAGAGGAAGGACTACAATTTATTTACAGTCTTAGCTTAAATAACTGAGCTGCAACAAAACAGCTTGCAGGAAACTACTATGCTTCCTAATCAAGCAGGGGCTTCTACATCTTGTTAGCAGTGGTGCTGATTTGAGTATGGGCTGCTGAAGGTTAGATCAGGAAAATTCAGGCAGTGTAATCATTCCCTCTCTGCTGCCTCACTCAAGCACTGAAGGAAGCCATACAAAGGGGCTCCGCTGCCTGTGCGATCGTGCCTCTAGCGGTGCTTTTAAAACAGCAAAGGCCATTACAGCAGCTGTGCTTCCACTGCTGGCCACATCTGCAAGACAGCTGGACCAAACCATTTTCAAACCAAATGCAGGGGTGTCTGATTTCTCACACGATCAGAGCTTGGCATCTTTACGCGATTGCTGGTAGTGTGCCACACACTAAGGTAGATGCAGACACACGAGACCCGTCAGACCCACAAATAAGGCCAAAGATCCACGGGGAAGCTAATTTCAACACTCTTCGTCAACATTTAGCATTGGAGACACACCCACAAGCTGTTGCCCTGGGCTGGTACCAGCTTCCATTTTCTGACATGGATTTTCTCTATCCATTCGCATTGAAGACCAGTTTTAAATTAAATGTATAAACATGTGACAGTAGCGGTCAGTCTAAAGAGCCCTCTATCACGATCAAGATAATGTAAAATTATTTTAAAAGGGAATATTTTTCTGAACTGGTCAAAAGACGGTTATTACTATTTTAAATGAAGTCAATGTCAATGTGCATTGTTTCATTTGGGCTGGACGATCACTGGATCCTGGTTACCAAGCGGTATGTCCTTTTGATGTAATTAGACAATGGACAGAGTCTTCAGCACAGACACCTGGTTCCAGTGAAGGAAGGCAGAAACAGCATACACAAGAATCAGGAATCGTAAACGAGGGAACTGAAATCCTACCCCCACCTCCCCCACCCCCCAACAGGGTAAACTAGAGAACTGAAATTCCTCCCCCGGCCCTGGGGATCATGTGCAGTGGTACGTTCCAGAATAACAGTACCCTACTCCTATCGGGAAGATGCTTTGGGCTCTGCCTGCCAAGGTCACATGAGCACATTCCTCAGCAGCTTCACAGAGGTTAGAAAACTGGAGCGAAATTAACATCCAGATAAAATTTCAAAGAATGGCAAGGTCTTCCAGCTCAAAGGTTCATAAATCAACAGGCTTGTCATCTTAAATACTTATTCAAAGCCTGGTCATCTTGTGTATATAAAAAAGTGTGTATGTACCCTTCTGGTAACTATGTGAGCACCATGAGCCAAGTCACAAGGGCATACGCCCACAATGTTTTTCCTGGCCAGAGCCTGCTAAGTAAAGTCTACTTCCTTTGCTATTTCTGTGCCCAGGACACAACACAGGGGAAAGTAACGAAACTCTAGATCCTAAACCTTATTGTTATCATCTGCCCCACACTCAACCAAACAGTGTTTCTTGAACTTGCTTGAAAAAGCAGTCAGTCAGCAGGAGACGGGAGCATCGCGGGAATCAAATTACATCTGAAGGCACATGGGCCGCGGAGCCTGACCGGAAGGAGGGGCTCTCTGGCTGCTCTGGAGTCTCAGTATTGATATTTAAAGAGACGTGTGCCTCAGCAGCCTATGCGGTTAAGTGTCACTATGCTGTCTCACCATCACCACGGTATCCGCGGGCCAACACAAGCGGCTCCGTACGGAAATGAAGTGTGATTCTTGGAAAAACAGTAACTGTAAGCGTTTTAGCATTATGAATAGTTGCATGCTATCATTAGAGGGGCACATCCCTGCTAATGCATTAATATTACAGACCCTACATGTTGGGGGGCGGAATGGGGCTCTGTAGGTTAGCAGACTGTGCTTGTGAACGGAAGGTCGCTGGTTCAAATCCTAGGGCCAGCAGATTGAGTTCACCATTGGGCCCTTCAGCAAGGCCCTTAACCCCAATTGCTGCAGGTACTGCCTGATCCTATTATCTTCAAAATAGTGCTTTGTTTTGGATTAAAGCTTCTACAAAATAAATAAAATGTAAATGTGTTTGTCAGCCTTTTTTTTAACACCATCTGCAACACATTTCAACAAACACATTAAAGACCTGCATTATTTTCCCTTCTAATCACAGTGTACACAATTAAAACGGTTAACACTTCTGGCTCATCAAGGGAAACGGTCCAGTTCTGAACAAGTGAACTGAAATGAAGCTGTAATTATAGACAGAAAATCAATCCTGTGGACATACAGCCTGTTTCTGGCCCCAACATGAATTTTAATCAAGGCTGAGAAGCAAGTAAGTATTTTTAGCTTCAAAAATGGAGAAAATGGGAGAGACTCTTTGGCTTAAGTGAGGGAAAAAGACGACACTTTATCTGATGAATTTACTCAGTATGGGGTCAGTACTCCAAGATGCTAATCTTGTATAAATACATCTTGTGCGAATTATCTCAAAGTGACAGGCTGATGCCTAAGCGGGCTGTGGTGTGACAGAGACACCCCCTCCCACTACCCACTGCTTAACTCGCACCACTTGGTTATGCTCCCCCACACCTATGTTAGTGTCACGCTGGTCAAACTAAATTTAAGACAGAGGAATGTGGCCCACTTCCTAATAATATCACCCTCCCGGCTGGCGCACCTTGGTACGGTCCGGCGTAGGAGACAAACCTCACCGGCTCGGCACCTAATGCCCCTGGCCGTACGGAGCCAGACGTCCTGCGGACCTGCACGCGCAGGTGACAAGGCGGGAAGGAGGTCTGCAAGCCGCCACGTCACACAGGATGAGAAACGTTGTTTAAACAGAGATGTGCGATTTCATTTTAAAACCTACACAGTAATCACAGCGCGAAAGCATCCCGGAAGAAGACTTTTCTAGAATTCTCTAAACCACATCACAGACGAGACCGCAGGCAAGCCGGCAGGAAACACTCAGCTGTCTGGCCACAGACCAGAAACTTGTGGCTACAATAAAACACAAAACAAAAAAAAAAAACAACCACCCCATATATTCTGTAAGGCAATTGAAAATCCCTGCGTACTGAAAAGACTGTGGAATGCTGTAATTAGGATGCCAGTCGTTATACTGGAAGCCTTCAGAGAAGTTCAACACACAGAGGAAACTTAAGGTAGCACCACTCAGCTGAGGGCCGGGGTGCACAAAATATTTGAAAATTGTAGAAAAATTACAATATTGCCAAGTTAGGGCTGGGTAGTAGCCTATATCGAATTCTTATGGTATATTTGATTTACTTTTTAAAATGAGAAATACGATAGCATAATATAATATATCTATATACTTCTATTGTGCGCTAAAATTAGGGCTCTGTTAAAGGTTTTTAATAGAAACCAATAATATTGCTTCCTGGTTGTAAACAGTGTGAGAGCTTCGGTCGTGACGTTACAGAACATCCCAGAATCCGCAGATAAAATCAAACCAACTCAGTTAGCGGCGTCTCACGAGGAGGCTGAAGCAGGGGAGAAGCAAGGACTCAGCAACACGTGGTTCATGTCGTTCTTAAACATCGTTAAAAAGATCGGAATTTGCCATATTTGTTGTATCTTGTTGATGGCTTTTAGAGCCATTTCCCAAATAGGATCTTCTGTTTTGAGAGTAATATCATAAACTGAGAAAAAGAAGTGTGTTGGCGGACAGAGTGGAGTGAGACCTTGTTTGACTCGTGTTCAACAGAAACGACATTGTTAGGCAGTGGCGGCAAAATAAAATATGTTTATATTAAGAAACTTTGGCAGTTTTTGTGGTCGTTGCACGATGCACACAAACAATAACATGTGTAGGGGGGCCCAAAAAAATGTTGAGAAAAATGGTATTAAGGCACTAATTTTTGAGACCACAGATGGGACAAGGTGGCCAGTAAAAGCGGAGGTACAGGAGGGCCAATAAGAAGATCCCACGACTCCTGGCCGGAGGTCAAAGGTCATACATGTAGCACTACATGTTTATGTACGTTTACAGGGCACCACACAGTAAGTTTACATCCCATAACAACCTCCCATGGTCTCACTATACAAATGTCCTAAAACAGAAGGAAAGGCCACAGATTCCTCATTGGAAGAGTAACACACATAGGTAGGCAGGCAGGAATTCCCAGGAAATGGGGGGAGGGCTTTCCCAGTCTGCCTGCTTTAACAATGGTGTACTGGGGGGAGCCCTGTCTGCCCGGAGGGGTGCAGGTAACCATGGTTATCCGAATGATATGCTCCCTTGTTAATGGTATTTATGACAAAGGAATTTTAACATTTATGGCTACACGCCGTGTGCAGACAATAACAGTGAGGGAGATAGATTCCAGCACAGTGGCTTAGGTGGGGCTGTAGCTCTGCAGCCACAGGAGGAAGCCGGTTGTAGACCTCCGGAAAGGTCTGTCAAGCCAACAGGAACAACGCGGAATGGGGCCACCTGAGGCTCAACCCAGCCGTCACAACCAGCAACTCAGACTAGGGTGTGGATTGGAAAATTCTGCCAAACCTTTTTCTTCCCAACTCTGATATAATAAATAATGCAGCAGTTAATGCTGAATTTCAACATGGGGTCGGTCCGGGCGAATGCAGCCTCCAGACCTGCCAGCTGCTGGCATGGAATCACACCCAAGCACCACATTTAGTAATGTTTTGTCACTCTTGAGATGGCGATGGAAACGCAGACCTATGAGGTACCGTTTGGGGTGGCTGGAGGAAGAAGTGAAGAAGCCGTATAGAAGGACGAGCCTGTAATTCTTAAAGGAAAGTGCTTCTTTTACATAAATGAATGCAACATGTAAATGTGTTGACAGTAAGGAGTTGCTGGTTTTATAACACTGCCAGTGATCCCCTGTGATTTCCATCGCTGAAGGGGCACTGTACACATCGGAGACCGAGGCTTCGATCGGGACGCATCCCCCCCCCCCCTACCTGCAGCATGAGCTCGCAGTCGTCCCGGCCCACAAAGATCATCTCGCGGGGCAGGCGATGCCGCGTGCCCCCGCTGCTCACCAGGAACCACGACGTCAGGCTCATTGTGGGTGCTGCTGGGCCGGGTCCCTGGGGGGGCCTCTACGTCATCCTGTGGGGGGGGGTGTTGAGGGAAGGAGGAGGAGAGGAAGGCAGTGGCATCAGAAGACATCCTCTCAGAAGACACTCGTTAAGCTGCAGCTCTTCCTGTCCAGTGATCAGTTCCAGATGCTACAGGAAGTGACGCGGGAGGGGGGACGCCTCGGATTCCCTCCCCATCCCTGGAAAAGGAGGTCAGCTCAGCTGTTTCTGCTTACGGCTGCTTGGCGTGAAGGGGAAGGCGGGGGGGGGGGGGGGGGGGGAGAGCAGACCGGGCCTGACCTAAAAACTGAGCAGATACTTTGGTAGCGACACCATGACCCCAATCTACCCCCCAACACCTACAGCACTGAGCTGGGGTCACCCCCAGGCCTCTTTTCTCAGCAGACACTTACTGTACAGCACCATCTTCTCAAACCTAGTTGGCTCATTCCAAGCACAAACCCACCAGCACAGAAATCCTCCTGCAGGTCATGTGACACGGTCCTTCCTGCTGACTAGCAGAATTATGGAATTATGGAATTTTATCCATAATTCTGTATGACAGAGAGGGACCCCCCCCCCACACATATACAACTGACAGGCCCATTAACCTCAAACCATCTTACATCCACATATACTTTGCTATCCATTATGATACAACCCAAAAAATTCTGTTTGTATAGCTATAAAGACACATGTGAATAAGTCTTGCGATAACACAGTCAGATATATCAGTTTTAAAAGTGAGTTGCTACACAAACAGATAATTTCACACAAACGACAGACTGTTTCCAATTCTCACGCTTGCGAAATGTAAACGCAGGATCTGCCTCTGACTTCAAGACCAGCCTGCATCTGATTCTCTCCCCCCCCCCACCAAAAGCCACACTGCTGATCTCCTGAAGGGCAAATCCACAGTCACGGTCATTTTAGAAGCTTTGCAGGGCAGCTTTCAATTAAGGGAAAGAAAAAAAAAAAAAAAAAATCTAAAATCAATATTCCATTATGCTCAGGTGGAAGAAATTGCTGAAATGAGGATTTTCTGTAAGAACACAAACATCCTGTGTACAGAGAAAACACACATACTGGCTAATACAGGCATTGTGTTTGGCCGCCTAAGTAATGACGAAAATGAATCTGAACTACTCATTTTTTTTTTGGTCAGACAATTTAGTCTAAATATACATTGGAAGAAATGTAGAGAAACATGTTCAGCATTGCACCTTTGGTAGTTTAGGTTATCTAGACAGAGAATAATCTAAAGCATTTTAAAAATCCACACCTAAGGACAGTCGTTTTCCATTGTGAGCGGGACTGAATTCATCACAAAGGCTCCTCACCGACGGCTTTGTGGCTATTAGATACTGATGCTGGGTCCATGGTGAGTCAGGAGGAGACAGATATCAGCAGACACCTTCCATGACAGCATTCACGACACCCCGATGCCTCGGGTCCGGGCCGCACACCTCCTTGGAGCCCAAGTAGTTTTGTTAGCAACAGATTCTAGCTGCATGGGTTGGGCGTCTGTGCATTGCGGTGGAAGCAGGCCTGCCACAGTCACACTTCTGCATGGGTTGGGCGTCTGTGCATTGCGGTGGAAGCAGGCCTGCCACAGTCACACTTCAGAGCCTCAAACATCAGGAAATGTGCGACTTACACATGGTAATACTTATTTATGCGTTAGACTCTTTGCATTACTACTTACCATTTTACTGCCAATTGCACACTATGGATATTAATGCTTATTGTTTGATGTCAAATGCTTCGCAGTGCTCGTGCTGGGCTGCCATGCATTTCACTGCACATTGCGCTGAGTTTAACTGTATGTGACAAAACTTTGGTCGACTGATTTGTAAGGGCAGGAGCATTATTCAGAGAATCATGTCTTTTTTGGGTATAACGCTGTTTCAGATCGAGTCCATTTGCAACAAACACTTATTTGTCAATTAGGAAAGTGCATCTGGCAAATCAGTACACTTAAGTGTAGAGGTGACCAAGGGGGGGACTTATTTAAAAAGTCAGACAATGTGCCAGAATCTGAGCCCCAGATAGAGGATCCCGCAAGGAAGGGGATAAGGTCATTCAACAAAACATGTAGGTTAAATACCTTCCCTTCCTGTAAGAGGACACAAGGCAAATGGTCTTGACCAATCAGACTCTTTCCCCTCCTCCCTCCCCCCCCTGGTCTGATGCTGGATGTTCCTGGGAGGAGACATGGGTGTTGCTTGGAAGCCAGTCCCCAGCGTGGCAGTAATGGCTTCTCCATGTGTGGCAGAGAAAGGCGGTGGCCCCATCAGCATGGACAGCCTTCCAGATGATGCAACAGCTGTTAAGCACTCGCCTCCTTCACATTACCTCATCACAGCCCCTGACGCAGCCTCTGTCAAGCTTATTATGGGATATCTGGGACAGAAGGAGGGGTCACACGACACCGAAAATAAAAATGTCTAACTGTTCGAAAATTGCCAACTCTTCCAGACAGCTGCTGGCATTTCCAAAGTGCTCAAGAAACTGACTGCTCCATCCGGAACTTTCTACACATCAGCAGGCATGGAACCAGCGTCAGTGCAGCACTGCCTTGGACACAATGCAATCAGGAGTGAGAGAGCCTGAGGTTGCACAGGGCCACGATAAATCCACAGCATCACTGCTGCAAAAAACATAAGCCTCAGACAAAGCTGAAAAACAGGAAAGTCCCCTAATCCTTTCCAAAACAAGGATGAAATTGCACAGAATTTTTCATTTGGTGAAGGGTAATCACTGCTCCCCCACTGAAATCCCCTCTTGTCTGGGAGATGAAATATTAGTAGGGTGTATGACGGTTAGCTTGCACGCCAACAAACTGCTCAGATACCTTCCACATTATCTAGCTGCTCCATTTGTCCCGTTATACGCAAAGTGTCGCTCTGCGGAGCGGCTTATTATTACGACATCAGGCGTCTGGGCTTCAAACAATATCCCAGCCCATGATTCTTATAAGCTTTTCCGATTTACAGAGAACTGTAGCGCTGTAGCGATTTGGCCCTGTAGAACTGCAGAGAACGATTATAGGTAAAAGCATTATGGAGAAGCCTCACTTCTTTAGGATCAGGTTTTACGTTTGTACCAGTATGATCTATTTTCCTGTCTTTTTTATCCAGACATTGATCCAAATCCATTGTCCATTACTGTCCTATCTACTGCAAAAAAAACACAATGTATGAGGTTCTATGACAATGGTGGGTATTTTCATAACATCTCAGAACAGCGAGGCTCTGACATAACAGGCTTTCTGACAGCCTGGAGAACGCATCCCTTCAGTAAGCCCACATACTGCCCTGCTACCGGCCGGATACAGGAGGTCAGCCAGGAAAACTGAGGACACACACTTCCTTTTGCAAGATCTTCAGAAGATTTCTGGAGTCAACGCTTGTGCCTGGTCAACACAATGACCCCATTGTGAAAATCTGAATTCATCTGCAATAAGAGAGTAGTTTTGGGCTGTTTAAATGAAATTGAAACAATTTTGAATTGCAAATAAATATGGCATATAAATACAGTAAAGTTCTAAGCTTTTTGTTAAACTCTGGCAACAATTTTCTGATATGCACAACAACAAAAATGGGAATGAAAGAAATGTCAATATCACTGTGGAAAGCAAAACAAAACATAATTAACCCACCTGACAACTATTTTCCAAAGAGTATAATTCCCATTCTCTGAAAACACTCCTTCATCCCAGAAAATTTCAAAACATTTGGCTGGCGCATTTCAGCAATGCTACAAAACATGCCAAGTCCAAACCACAGCCTTCTTGCAACATTTTAATATGCTAGGGTCACATTATCATACAATTCAGCATTTCAGGGATCCAGACTGCGACCATAATGTGACCATTTTGTGAATGTTATTTGTACCTTGGGGGACAGTGATGTCCCAGGACTGTACACTTTATGTCTGACAGTGTGTGACCCAAGCCACCGTCTTAAATTAAAAAATTCAAGACTGTAAGCAATTTGTAATGGTTTAAGTGGGTATTATTCATTCAGCCATTGTTAATTTAGCTGTATATCAATCATGATATTGAGCTGCGTTATGGATAAAGAGAATAAATGAAGTCTTGTTATTGAAACATTTAGACTTTTTTTTTATCGTATTATAATTAGAACTATGAATTGGTAAGAACTGAAAAACGTAATAAAATAACCATGGCCAGTTTTTTTTATTTATTTATTAAAAAAAAAAAAAAAAAAAAAAAAAATCAATAACGGTCAAACACTGCGCTTTCTTGATTAGCTTCACAACAATGACAAAGGAAATCAGGGACAGCATTTTATAAATGCTTATGATGCCTGCTTCCTGGTTAACATCGTTTTGAACTTGCTGTAAGGCGTTGGGAAATCTGCATTGATGTCTAAAAGATCAGAAATACATTTACATCTGCTTCATTCTTTGGTCCAAAGTGACCTACAAGTGCACAAAGGCAAACGGCACAGTACGGACATGCAGCCGATGAGGAGTCGACTCGGCAGAAGTGCTTTCTGCAAGGTCAGTAGACCTCCCTCGCATTTCAGTTCAGTGGAACATTTTGGGAAACCAGCAGGGAAACGAGACAAACGGCAAAAGAGCGAGGATGGAAAGGGCACCATATGGTCTCTGTCAGAACCAGAGGAGCCTGTTAAACAAAACACACCCTGGGTTAGACCCTGAAAATGCGCCGCCGACGCAACTCGATGAAGCATCACCAACGGGTAACAGTAACGGATGCATTAGCTAAACTGTTATGCCAATTAAAGACATAATATGCACATCAATTATTGATAGGCATTTGTGCCAGATCTGTTACCATATCAAAACAGAAATACATGTACATTCGGATGATATGTGTAGGGTAACATGAAATGTCTAACATTATAGTTGCAGTTTCCAGTCATTTTGAGGTTGTCCAAAGCCGTGTAAAAAAAACATCATGGGATAAATTTAGTGCCTCTAAATCAGAGGTCAAAGCTGTTATTGAGAAAATAAAAAGACTATTGGTGTGGAATCATTTCT